ACTTGATGCCGTTTAGAGAAACAGGGTGTCCAATTTAAAGAAAAAACTATTTGAATCGTTTCCGGATGAGGAGCAATAATTATTATGCTGGTTGTACAAGTAATTCAAAAACAAAAAGTGACAGGCACATACGCCTTTCGAAAATTACCTTAAAATGAACCATGCCAATAAAACATGAAAAAATATTCAGGATGTGCTTAATATTTTAAAAATGACAACCATTTGAAAACGAATTTTAGGGCATCTCATAATTGGGGTTAGCTTTATATCTTCCCAACGGTTTCAAGGTGGTTGAGTAGCACATCACTCTCCTAAATGACTCTGCAATGGTCTAATTCAATATCTGGGAAAACGTCAGGTTTTTTTGAGATTCCGAAATAAATAAAACGCATATTTGGTTATTTCATTATTGGGGGTAGTTTTATATCTTCCCGACCGCTTCAAGGTGATTAATTAATACATCATTTTGAAGCTCTCCTAAATGGCTCTTCAATGGTCTAATTCAATATCTGGGACAACGTCAGGTTTTTTTGAGATTCCGAAATAAATAAAACGCATATTTGGTTATTTCATTATTGGGGGTAGTTTTACACCTTCCCGACCGCTTCAAGGTGGTTGAGTAGTACATCATTTTGAAGCTCTCGTAAGTCGCTCTTTACTTCGATATCTGGGACAACGTCAGGTTTTTTTGAGATTCCGAAATAAATAAAACGTGTATTAGGTTTTTTCATTATTTGGGGTAGTTTTGTACCTTCCCGACCGCTTCAAGGTGGTTGTCTAGTACATCATTTTAAAACTCTACTAAGTGGCTCTTTAATGGTCTAATTCAATATCTGGGACAACGTCAGGTTTTTTTGAGATTCCGAAATAAATAAAACGCGTATTAGGTTTTTTCATTATTTGGGGTAGTTTTGTACCTTCCCGACCTCTTCAAGGTGGTTGTCTAGTACATCATTTTAAAACTCTGCTAAGTGGCTCTTCAATGGTCTAATTCAATATCTGGGACAACGTCAGGTTTTTTTGAGATTCCGAAATAAATAAAACGCGTATTAGGTTTTTTCATTATTTGGGGTAGTTTTGTACCTTCTAGACCGCTTCAAGGTGGTTGTCTAGTACATCATTTTAAAACTCTGCTAAGTGGCTCTTTAGTGGTCTAATTCAATATCTGGGACAACGTCAGGTTTTTTTTAGATTCCGAAATAAATAAAACGCGTATTAGGTTTTTTCATTATTTGGGGTAGTTTTGTACCTTCCCGACCGCTTCAAGGTGGTTGAGTAGTACATCATTTTGAAGCTCTCCTAAATGGCTCTTCAAGGATCTAATTCAATATCTGGGACAACTTCAGGTTTTTTTGAGATTCCGAAATAAATAAAACGCATATTTGGATATTTCATTATTGGGGGTAGTTTTACACCTTCCCGACCGCTTCAAGGTGGTTGAGTAGTACATAATTTTGAAGCTCTCCTAAGTGGCTCTTCAAGGGTCTAATTCAATATCTGGGACAACGTCAGGTTTTTTTGAGATTCCGAAATAAATTAAACGCATATTTGGTTATTTCATTATTTGGGGTAGTTTTACACCTTCCCGACCGCTTCAAGGTGGTTGAGTAGTACATCATTTTGAAGCTCTCGTAAGTCGCTCTTTAATGGTCTACTTCGATATCTGGGACAACGTCAGGTTTTTTTGAGATTCCGAAATAAATAAAACGCGTATTAGGTTTTTTCATTATTTGGGGTAGTTTTGTACCTTCCCGACCTCTTCAAGGTGGTTGTCTAGTACATCATTTTAAAACTCTGCTAAGTGGCTCTTCAATGGTCTAATTCAATATCTGGGACAACGTCAGGTTTTTTGAGATTCCGAAATAAATAAAACGAATATTTGGTTATTTCATTATTGGGGGTAGTTTTACACCTTCCCGGCCGCTTCAAGGTGGTTGAGTAGTACATAATTTTGAAGCTCTCGTAAGTCGCTCTTTAATGGTCTACTTCGATATCTGGGACAACGTCAGGTTTTTTTGAGATTCCGAAATAAATAAAACGCGTATTAGGTTTTTTCATTATTTGGGGTAGTTTTGTACCTTCCCGACCGCTTCAAGGTGGTTGTCTAGTACATCATTTTAAAACTCTGCTAAGTGGCTCTTTAATGGTCTAATTCAATATCTGGGACAACGTCAGGTTTTTTTGAGATTCCGAAATAAATAAAACGCGTATTAGGTTTTTTCATTATTTGGGGTAGTTTTACACCTTCCCGACCGCTTCAAGGTGGTTGAGTAGTACATAATTTTGAAGCTCTCCTAAGTGGCTCTTCAAGGGTCTAATTCAATATCTGGGACAACGTCAGGTTTTTTTGAGATTCCGAAATAAATAAAACGCATATTTGGTTATTTCATTATTTGGGGTAGTTTTACACCTTCCCGACCGCTTCAAGGTGGTTGAGTAGTACATAATTTTGAAGCTCTCGTAAGTCGCTCTTTAATGGTCTACTTCGATATCTGGGACAACGTCAGGTTTTTTTGAGATTCCGAAATAAATAAAACGCGTATTAGGTTTTTTCATTATTTGGGGTAGTTTTGTACCTTCCCGACCGCTTCAAGGTGGTTGTCTAGTACATCATTTTAAAACTCTGCTAAGTGGCTCTTTAATGGTCTAATTCAATATCTGGGACAACGTCAGGTTTTTTTGAGATTCCGAAATAAATAAAACGCGTATTAGGTTTTTTCATTATTTGGGGTAGTTTTGTACCTTCCCGACCGCTTCAAGGTGGTTGTCTAGTACATCATTTTAAAACTCTGCTAAGTGGCTCTTTAATGGTCTAATTCAATATCTGGGACAACGTCAGGTTTTTTTGAGATTCCGAAATAAATAAAACGCGTATTAGGTTTTTTCATTATTTGGGGTAGTTTTGTACCTTCCCGACCTCTTCAAGGTGGTTGTCTAGTACATCATTTTAAAACTCTGCTAAGTGGCTCTTCAATGGTCTAATTCAATATCTGGGACAACGTCAGGTTTTTTTGAGATTCCGAAATAAATAAAACGAATATTTGGTTATTTCATTATTGGGGGTAGTTTTACACCTTCCCGGCCGCTTCAAGGTGGTTGAGTAGTACATAATTTTGAAGCTCTCGTAAGTCGCTCTTTAATGGTCTACTTCGATATCTGGGACAACGTCAGGTTTTTTTGAGATTCCGAAATAAATAAAACGCGTATTAGGTTTTTTCATTATTTGGGGTAGTTTTGTACCTTCCCGACCGCTTCAAGGTGGTTGTCTAGTACATCATTTTAAAACTCTGCTAAGTGGCTCTTTAATGGTCTAATTCAATATCTGGGACAACGTCAGGTTTTTTTGAGATTCCGAAATAAATAAAACGCGTATTAGGTTTTTTCATTATTTGGGGTAGTTTTACACCTTCCCGACCGCTTCAAGGTGGTTGAGTAGTACATAATTTTGAAGCTCTCCTAAGTGGCTCTTCAAGGGTCTAATTCAATATCTGGGACAACGTCAGGTTTTTTTGAGATTCCGAAATAAATAAAACGCATATTTGGTTATTTCATTATTTGGGGTAGTTTTACACCTTCCCGACCGCTTCAAGGTGGTTGAGTAGTACATCATTTTGAAGTTCTCGTAAGTCGCTCTTTAATGGTCTACTTCGATATCTGGGACAACGTCAGGTTTTTTTGAGATTCCGAAATAAATAAAACGCGTATTAGGTTTTTTCATTATTTGGGGTAGTTTTGTACCTTCCCGACCTCTTCAAGGTGGTTGTCTAGTACATCATTTTAAAACTCTGCTAAGTGGCTCTTCAATGGTCTAATTCAATATCTGGGACAACGTCAGGTTTTTTTGAGATTCCGAAATAAATAAAACGAATATTTGGTTATTTCATTATTGGGGGTAGTTTTACACCTTCCCGACCGCTTCAAGGTGGTTGAGTAGTACATCATTTTGAAGCTCTCGTAAGTCGCTCTTTAATGGTCTACTTGGATATCTGGGACAACGTCAGGTTTTTTTGAGATTCCGATATAAATAAAACAAGTATTAGGTTTTTTCATTATTTGGGGTAGTTTTACACCTTCCCGACCGCTTCAAGGTGGTTGTCTAGTACATCATTTTCAAGCTCTCCTAAGTGGCTCTTCAAGGGTCTAATTCGATATCTGGGATAACGTCAGGTTTTTTTGAGATTCCGAAATAAATAAAACGCATATTTGGATATTTCATTATTGGGGGTAGTTTTACACCTTCCCGACCGCTTCAAGGTGGTTGAGTAGTACATAATTTTGAAGCTCTCCTAAGTGGCTCTTCAAGGGTCTAATTCAATATCTGGGACAACGTCAGGTTCACACCGTTAGATTTTTTTGAGATTGCGAAATAAATATACCTACTTATTTGGGGTGGTGCGAGCGGAAAGGGGTTATTTCCGGTATAGCAACATTGAACATGGTTTTTGGGAGTTCCCTTACTATATTTCCTTGCTTAATTTCCTGGAAATTCCACGGGAATACGTTTTTTAAATTAAGGTAAATAACGAACTGGTCTACTGTAATATTCGCAAATCCGAATCCAAATCCAAATCTAACTTCAGCCACATGTTTGCAAGATAACTTAGTGATTATAAGTACCCAGACGCCGCGTCGCCTTACAGCTTACACATACAATACGGAAGCATAATCAAGCTAGGCTAGGCGAATTGGCATATTATTATTATAAAAGAATAATAAAAAAAAATTAAATGAAAGCTTCTTTTTCGGCGTCTTTGTGATGCGGTGCCTTTGTGCGCTGCACACTTTGAACACGCCATGCGTCGGGGTTGATCTGATCGTAATTTGTTGTCATTGCACTGGTTCGAGTGTAGTTATTTTTCTGTTTGTACTTCAGTTTGGACTCAGCTTTGTCTTCGTAGTGACATGTGTGCATTTACTGTGTAATTTTCAGTTGGTGTTTGTAATTATTACGTTAAAGTTCAACTACATTTTGTTTAATTATTTATTATTATTTAACCATCATGGATAAATGGCTAATTAAAATTCCAACTGCCACGCCGTCACAACCAAGTTGCAGTGCTTCAAATCCGACTTCTAGCAAAACAAAAAAAAGAAAATATGACGAATCATATTCGCAGTATAGCTTCACATGCTCTTCTCACAACAATGAAGAACAACCAGTGTGCTTAATTTGCAAAGAAGTTTTGGCTGCAGAAAGCATGAAACCGTCAAAACTGCAACGACATTTGAATACTAAACATGCAACGTTATCAAAAAAGCCAATAGAACATTTTGAGCGTCTTTTGCAAACATCAAATAAAGAAAAGAACACTTTGAAGAAGTATGTTACTTTGAATGATACATATCTATTGGCATCGTATGAAGTTTCGTATTTGATAGCAAAAACGAAAAAGCCTTTTACTATTGGAGAGCAACTTTTACTACCTGCAGTTATAAGAATGTCTGAAATTGTTCATGGAAAGCAGTATGCTGCTGAAATTAGTAAAATTCCATTATCAAATTACACTGTGTCCAAAAGAATTTCAGACATTAGCAATGATCAATTTCAACAGCTTCTTATGAGGCTTAAAGACAGCTCAAAGTTTGCAATACAACTGGACGAGTCGACAGACATTTCAAAAATGGCATAGTTGTTTCTTTTTGTAAGATATATTTATGAGGGAAGCATTCATGAAGATATACTGTTTTGTCGTCCTCTGGAAGGTCATACTAGTGGAAAAGATATATATAAAAAAGTAAATGAGTTTTTTGAAAAAGAAGGATTAAATTGGAAAAATTGTGTTGGTGTGTGCACGGACGGTGCTGCAGCAATGACCGGACAAGATCTTGGTTTTACAGCATTTGTTAAAGCTGGAAATGATTATATTACATTTACACATTGTATGATTCACCGAGAGGCACTTGTTGTTAAAAAAATTGCACCAGAATTAAACACTGTGTTTTTTGATGCAGTCAAAATCATTAACTTCATTAAAAGTCGAGCACTTAATAGTCGATTGTTTAAAAATTTATGCATTGATATGGATTCGGATTATTATTATGGATCGCTCAAAATGTTTCCATTTACTGATGAGTATATAATTAGTAACAATATTTCAAAAAAAGATACTCCTATAACAAAAATTATAGTTAATCATTTGAAGGATATGGAAGTTTACATGCATAGGTATTTTCCCAATGATATCGATACACGACAATGGATTTGCAATCCATTTTGAATTGAAATTTTGGATAGAAATCAAATCAGAATATCCCCTACTATCGGAAATGGCAATGAACAAATTACTGCCATTTTGTACAACATATTTATGTGAATCAGCCTCTTCCACATTAATTTACATAAAATCAAAATACCGTTCAACTTTAATAAACGTTGAAAATTTATTACGATCTGCACTAACTCAAATTGAGCCTATTTGTGTAAAAATAAACAATCACATCCGTCACATTAATATTGTTTGATGTTAATAATATGTTTTTATTAAAAAAATTGTTACAAAAGTTTAATTTTTCTATATATATATATATATATATATATATATATATATATATATATATATATATATATATATATATATATATATATATATATATATATATATATATATATATATATATATATATATATATATATATATATATATATATATATATTCTCACGTATTGATTCACGGATGGAAAAATGTGATGACACTATATTCCAGGATGTCATCCGTTCGCTCGTTGAACTCCGACTGGAATCCTGCAAATCCTGCATCCGACTGGAATCCTGAGTGTTCGAAGTGTTTTCGGAGCGCGAGCATTGAAGATGCCAAGTGAGATTTTGGCGAAACGTCTGCAGGATTCCAGTCGGATGCAGGATTTGCAGGATTCCAGTCGGAGTTCAACGAGCGAACGGATGACATCCCGGAATATAGTGTCATCACATATCATCATATGTGAAATGAATGGGTACGTATTCTTTAATCCTTATTTTATTTACATTGTAAAATAGTACGATATTACATCTACATCTACGTTTAATATATATTTCATTATATGGAGGAGGGGGTCGTTTAAAATTTCCTAAGCTTGAAGGGGGTCGCTATATACAAAAGTTTAGGAAGCCCTGGCCTAGACAATGTAATGATAATTAAAAAGACATTTTTACACCCCTTTTCCTTCAATCTAAACAAAATTTTCCATGCGTTAGCAGAACTGTTGAACCACTGGACCAACGTACGTAGAAATATACATAACAAATACATATAAATACAAAAATAATATAAAACAGCTATTACAACAAACGTATACATAAACCTAATCTACATACCGCTTTTTTAATTGGTAGTATTTTAAAAGGCGTTAAATGTTTGACTGGAATCCGTTATTGCCAAGTTGTACCTTCACCTACCTATCTACTACCTATCATTCTATCAAATCAACTAAACAACAAACTAACAGCCTTCAGTATTTATTTTTATCAGCGACTGGCCCTTTCAGAATATTAATAACGTTTTTTCTTTGGTCAAATGATAAAAATACATTGCATTGCATAATGTATTTTATTTTATTTATCCAAAAGTACTTTATTCTTTCCGCTCGTCATTATGATTCTCAAACAGTCCGACAAACTTAGACAGAATTACACTGCGCACACAGTCTAGTTAATCGACTAACTCATCAGATTACCTAGAATAGCGAAGTCAATTTGAAGATTATCTAAAATAGTAGTGATTTTGCATAATAACGGTAAATTGGTCAGTTTGCGGCCAAGATTGCTATTAAAATAATTATATTTCAGTTGAAATTAAATATATTTAGGAAGTGAAACTCACACTTTTTGATGCAATAGTTATACGATATGTAGACATTGAATAATGCTCCAGTATCATAATCAATCTAATATCAAAAGCAGTGCATACAAATAATTTACGTATCTAGTATTTTGAAGTACAGTTAGGTAAATCAGGTATAATAAGGCAGGTTAATATTAAAATAATTACGCTATTTTAAGAATTTGATAACTGTGGGTACTTTATTTTAATACTGCAGTACAGTGAGATGTAGAGATGTAGAGTCTTGTAAGGTACAGTTTTCGCAGCAACATATTAATTTTTTATGATACGAAAGATGACACAATTTCCCATTTCTTGACATACAAAGCGTTGTTAAAATGTTGCAATTTTAAAAAATGGCTAAAGTTATTGCTATATTATGAGCTTTCATAGTAATCATTGTCAACTCTTTTTGTTGGAATAATAGACACGCAGTGATTTATGTCAATTGATAATTATACCCTTTTCTTTAATTCTAACCTTGTTGAAAATTGTTTAAAATATTTTTATAAGGATGAACGATTCTGCAATTATTACAAGCTGGTGAAATTGCGCTGGATATTTAGACCCATATAATTAAATTATAAATTCAGCGAGAAAACTCGCTTTGCATCTCCGAACAATTTACAGTAAAATGTAAAATTTTACTGTAAAGAGAATTCTGGAGGTGAAAATATCGATATGAATTCTATTTTATACTTGACGCACGTGTCGCTCGTTTTTAAGTAAGTATGCCGTTTCTTTCGAAGTTATCGGTAGACATTTTTTTTTGCAATATGATCAACTAATGTTCTTCTTTAAATAATATTCTCTAATACACCATTGCCAGCAAAAGTCAATGAATTGAAAATAGTTTAGTTTATAAAAAGAACTCGACAAGTTAAAGTTAAATATAGACAATTTACCTATCCTATTTGTCAAGAAATGCAACGGCAAATCAAAATAAATAAGAACTAAAAGTTCAGATTTTCACGAAATTATATATTTTGACATGACAATTGCTTCGACAACACCGTATCTTTATCAAATCTACATTTGATAAAGACACGGTGTTGTCGAAACAATTGTCATGTCAAAATTTATAATTTCGTGAAAATCTGAACTTTTAGTTCTTATTTATTTTGATAAATGGATTTTCATCAAGTAAAAGCCACCTCAGTTCAAGCAACGGCAAATATTGTGAATCCGACTTTAGTCCTTCGTTTTAAAATATTTTTCTACTTCTTACTCCAAAATACCCAATTATGCACTAATCATTTATAAATTAGTATTACATACATACTATGCTTTTTCTGGGGCCATTACTTTTTAATAACATTTTTGCAAAACGAGTGAAGTGTGATTTAACCATCAGAATTGACCTGAAAATAGCACTAGTGTTTAAAATGTCCCATTCTAAAGTGACGGAAATGCTCGAATTGGCTGGCGACAGTGTTGAATGAGGTAACATTTTCCGAAGATATTAGATATTTTAGTGTAGAAAGTCGAAAAATATGTAAAAACAAGGTATCATAACACTAAAGTCCGATTCATAACATTAACTCTACTATTTCTTGATAAATACGAAAATTCAATGCGGCACAAAATCCGAATTTGTAATGAAAAATTGATGTTTCCATTTCAGGTTTCAAAGTTGCTCTATCCAGCAGTGGGTTGGGATGGAGGCTTGGGTCATCGAGCAGTATTTGTCTTTAGGAGATATTCCACCTTTTTGGACACCTGGTATATCTAAAGGAAGGGAAGGAATACAAATATCGTGTTTATTTGGACTGTTGGACAATTCGCAAAGTTTTCCAGAACTTCTTTATAGTTTATTATTTCGTTTTTAAATTGATAAAATTTGTTCAAGTTCGGCAACAGATACGGGGAAATTAAAAAAGTCACTCCTCGTAAAACTTAAGGGAAATTAAAATTTATTTTTACCAACCAAATGAAAGTTATCCAAAATAATACAGTCACTTACTATTTAAACCCTACTAATAGTTTATTTATATTGAGCGTGCGTTCGACTTTTTGGAATGCAGACCGAATCGGACTAAGCCCATTCGACTCGAACAATATTATACAAGTTCCCTCCCACCTAAACTAGTGACTGAAAAAATTTATCTACATTATTTTTTTTTACCAACAGTTTTGGGGTGCATTTTGCAAAGCAATATATTCATATTGCTTTGCAAAATGGTCACATCATGTCACTTAGTGACATGATGTGACCATCAGAACTGGCAAACGTCAAAATCCCATGGTTAAAATCTGTCGAAAATCTTCAATCGCTCCAAACCGTGGGTAACAAGGCTGACGTCTTAAAGTGCCACGTGCAGCACGCTTACAGTGGCTAATTGGGTATTTTATTAGTTCAATAGAAAGTCAACTTCCAATACCCGATCCTTATATCCAGTAGTTTAATAACAAGAATGTGCCTATATTTTAGAAATACTATCTGTTTATACAGGATCGGTCAATGAAAACACTTCTTTTTATATATTTTTTAATGTCGACATGTCGAAATTCACTGCAAATAAGCAGTACAAGCGTACAAAAATAAAAAAAAACTTACACTACAAACTGACTAAAAATCTACTACTACTAGTACTACTATAGATCAGACTTTTTTACATTCTTTCCGGTCCGCATTGGCAGGCCAATCGCAAATATGGCTGACGGTGTGATAAACCGTTCCGAGCTCGCAATCGAACTCTTTTGGTGTACCGTGATCACAACGATAATACTGAAAAATGAACACACATATTAATAAATGTGGTTAGTTTTATGAAGAGATTCATGGTCGAGTTAAACTATGATTTATTTAAATGTGATATTATTCGTCTGAATTCTCAGATCGAATCTTGGTGCCGCAGAAAATAAATACCCGCGCCACAGGATTGTCATCAGCAATAATATAATTTTTGGAGACTTAACATCTTTGATAGGATAGTTAAATTTATTTTTGTCAGAAAGTTTAAAAATAAATGCTCCAGCGAGGTATTGTCTCAAGAAAATACGATCCAAGTCGAAGGGTTTTCAAATTTTATTCTAGAATCAGTGTGATTGTTTTCGAAACTCAGTTTTCCAGTTTGTGGAATATTCGGATGTAGAATACGACATTTGAAAATAAAATAAAATGGCTTAACTTCGTGTCCAAATCAAAACCATAAAATTCTCCAGAAATGTCATATTTAAAAATTTCTAGGTATCGGTGCGAAGATGCGATGTTGATATTTGGCAAGTAAATAGTGACCCAACCAACCAATAAATTAGTTTCAAAAAACTGCGTGATTAAAATTGACGCTGTCAAAAAAAAATAGACGTGATCAGTGAGTCATAATATTTTAAAAACTTGTTTAACAAAAAGTCACTGCCAAAAAGAATAAAAGAATGATTCATTGATTTTTTCTGGAGACACAATAGTTACTTCTTGTTATTTCAAGATGCACAGTTGCAATCAAATAAATTTTTACCTACATACCTTATTACACTGTTTGTGGGGCATAAAATCATCTTTGCAACCAACTGGATAATCTACTTCGTTTGATGGTATAGCACTAGTAGGAGAAGATTCTGAAATACCCGATGGAACTGGATGCGATGTTGATGTTAAAATCGAAGAAGGTTTTTCGGTTGTTGCTGGTTTCGTAGAAACCTCAGGGATCCACTGACCTGGCTTCGACGTCGTGGGAAGAGACGCAGATCCACTTTCAGATGGTGTGCTGGGTGGTCTGGCCCATTCCGGCTAAAATACGAATTCATGAAAAGTTTGTCGTTTCCGCGATATACAAAAAAATCCAGGCAATGCTAAACTGTATTAGTAGTATATTATGCAACAAGTCTGTGTTGAATTCCAAGTGCCGCCGATTAAATAAAGTGTAGCTACTCCTTGAAGTCGAGGGTTAAGGAAAAATACCTCAGAGGCCACGAATTTTTCATATAATACATCAAATTATCATATATATCATATCATGGCTTCGCGCTATTTAAAGTTCAATCTGACTTTCCCACAATATGTTGCTTAATTTGCATAAATCGATAAGGATAGCTTTTACAAATTACCAGCTGCCCATCAAATGTCTGAAGTCAAATAAATATTCCTGTTCGATACGATACGAAATTTCGAAGGAAGATGAGGTAACTTGTATATTATCTTCAGATTGCAATACTAAGAATCCCAACCTAAATGTTAGTAGAAAAGTTCTTACGTTTCAGAGCAAGAATTTGCAAGATTTATGAAAATGTTTACTTTTTGGTTAGTTGGTTAAAATACGTTTCGCCATTTTTGTTCCTCTGAACTTTGCCGAATGTAAACAAAAGGAACATACCCTTGGTGTAGTAGTAATTTTCGGTTCGGGAACTTCGTAGCTTTTCATGTTGGCGTGCAGTATATGAAGCAAAACATTTTTCGGGCCGCAAACTCCTCGGAAATCGTCAAGATCGATAGCCCATACCATTGCGCCACCGTAACCGTTTGATTTAATAAAATCCATTTTAATTTGAACGCTTTGTGGGTCTTCGTAACCAACCCATTGCGTTCCTGAAACAAATCACAATTAGCCAGTAAGATTATAGAAATATACTGTGATTCTAATATAAAATCGAACCTAACATTAGGTCATTCTGTTTACCGAAAACGTATGCACACAGACCGATACCTTAATACATCGTTACATCACCATCAGACCCAAAAATCATGCTCTTCTCTTTAGTAATTTAATAAATTTTACATTAGAGACATTAAGCGTTCCATCACAAAATACACTTTACCACACTGTTCCAAAGACAATGAATCAGAAAGCAACACTTCCACTATTGTCCTTACATTCAAAACATCATTGACCATATAGCAAAAGAAATATAAGGTCAAAACCAGATTTACCACTTGTCCAAAAATCTCTCAACATCTTCGATCCGTCAAAGACAAAATTCCGTTTGAGATATCAGGAGTTTACGGCATTCCATGCATGTGAGGCAAAAAATACATTGGAGAGACCGGACTAGGCTCAACTAGGCCCGAAGAACATGAAAGAGCCTTAAGACTAAGACAAATAAACTCATCAGCAGTTGCCCAACACAATCACGAAACCGGATATAAAATTTTATTCGATAAAAGTAAAATTCTTGCACTTAAGGAACTCTTCTATCAACGAAAAATCCGAGAATCGATAAAAATCTATAAGCAATCCAACAATCTTAACCGCGTCAGGTCTTTACCTGTCACCAATATGAGAATAATTCATCCGGGACGATGTTTATGCCCCCATTTATCCCTTTTAAAAAATGTATATGCAGGTACAGAGTAGAATGCGAGCCAGTTATGTTTAAGCTCTGAAGGAGCCAACAGGGTGATTGGCGAAACGTTAGCAAATTCGATTCATTGATTCGGATTTGTAAATAGTATTACAGTAGCCTGTGGTGTTTCTTTGAAAGAAAAAGACATTCAATCACAAAATACACTTCACCAGCACCACACCCTGTCACTCCGTAATTGACCCTCCATTAGCCACTACAGTGTGTTCAAAATGTCACCGATCAACTATCAACAATTCTGAAATCTTCCAACATCTACAACAGTTTAAAGGTAAAATTCCTCTCAAGACAGCAGGTGTTTACAGTACTTATGTACAGCTGTGACAAAGACCCCAGATTTTGACGTTTGGCCCTTTCTCATATCCAAGAAAAACATCAAAGGTCCTAGTAACATAATACGCAACAGAGGTTCCTGTCTGTGGTCCATTTGGAAGGAGTATTCCTACTCTCTTGATCTTACTACCATTGTAGCCCCAAATCTATGGCGAGTGTTTATTATCTTTTTGTTTATGACCATTTCCGATATTTTTTTTTTAACGGAATATAACTATTTGAACCACCCTTTCACCATGTCCAAGACCTTTATGGCAATATTCAGTTTTGAAACATTCGGTATAGTTATGCATAATATTGTTGTGCATAACATTTAAGGGAAAACGAAATTTGGAAAAAAACCTTTTATACCTTTATAAGCGTATGGTACCATTCCTTGTTCGTCCCATTTTTTGACCCAGCCGCTCTCCTTATTGTCCACATCCAAACAGATCTGAAATTGTAGGTGTATTAATAGTAAAAATATAGAGGACAGATCCTAAATAGCGTATTGACATTAACTGAGAAACGGTTTTATTTCAAATTACTTGAATAGGCTGACTTAAGCGGGGATGTTTTGTCACTTTGAAATATTAGAAACCAATTTATATTTCATGCAAAAAATAAAGTTGATTTTATAAATAATAATAAATTTTATATCTTCTATTTATATAGAATTCAAAAATTATAAATATAATATAAAATAAACTAATAGTTCTTCTTGATTATTCCTACAAAAACTTTTTTAGCGAAATTAATGTAGATCAAACAAGACTACATACTTTTAGGGAAATAAAGCAGTAGCCCTTGTATATTTTTTTGTATCATTTGTCTAATCACTCTGAGTGACCTTTCGACCACATTCTAAGAAATACACTTCTCAATGTATTTCTGACCTCTGTTTAAGAACTGAATATCAAAATTGCACTGAAATAGTCATACCTCATAGTACGCTAACATCCCAGTAGCATTTGTATATGGTCCGGGATCACCTCCACCAGCTTCTTTGTTAATATACGTGCCCAAATTGTAATTATTGTTGCTATTACTTAAAGTAAAACTTCTTCCGTAAAACGGAACTCCGACAATGAGCTTCTTGGGTGAACAGCCATAATTAACCCATAACAATAATCCGTCATTCTAAAATGTAACAGGGGACTATACGCAAGGAACCACCAATTGTTAGTTTTTTATGTTTTTTTTTATGTTTTAACTCACTATCATAATTCACTAACACGGAAAATTATAATTCATTTTGTATACTAATATTTACTATTTATTTTATTAAGAATATTAAGCACGCATATCTGATTTGGATGAGATACTTTATTTTATCGTTAAGTTATTGATTTGCTTCAAACTGTATGTTTCTAGCTTTACTTAAACATTATCCCGGTTTCTAAACGTTCCGATAAATCCTACCAAACACCTCGATTTAAGGTTCGGCAGTCAGGATGGCGGATTTGTAACCGAATTATCATAAAAACAAAAATCCAGACATGGAAAATCAATTTCCCTTGTCTTTTCACTGGTACTTTTCGGACGAACACGCATATCAAAGTTTACGGTAATTTATTTACAGCATTTTTCTATTAACAGAAATCGATTAGTGCAGAATGAAACTGCTTCAGCAACTATACTTGCAGGATTATTGAATTAAGGAGTACTTTTTCTCCGTAATTAAACAAAGTTTATAAATAAATAACTAAATAAAATAAATATTTTCAAACTTTGCAACCGGTTTAGGACATCAACTAAAACTTTCCTCATGCAACGGAGGATATCGTTCCATTAATTCGACGAAAAAGTCACCTGAAATAAGCCCCAAAAATTTCGTTGAAATCAAAATTAGTGTCTTCAATAGAATTTCTGAAAAAACCGAGCAAATACTTTTTGAAGGAAAATTTTAATGATGAATTCGTTAATGGAAAACTAATCATTTCGCATTATAAGATGAAGATATCATTGATAATACATTAGTAATGAACTTCGTTCAAAACTGCATTCCATGACCCATTTGCTTTATAATAGTGAATTGTGAGCGAGTTATGCACACACTATACTTACTACGTTTAGTTTTTCGTAAGCCCATTGGTCGTGTGGTCTTTTGTAGAGGGCACTGTGGGTGTCTGCAAATCCTGCCCAATTGCCTCGCAAGTCGTACGTCATTGCATGAATAGCGTCCAACGTTCTGTAATATGACAGAGATAACAATTTCCACATGCAATTACTAAACTCTCCAATTAAATCATTTATCGTATGACAAAAAAGGCAGACTTTTCAAAAACCATAATATATCTGGAAAAAGTCTTGCCATGAGCAAAATTTCGGCAAAGTACTTCATCTCACTTATTTATCACTATTTTGAAAAAATGTTTTCATAGATGTTGCATAAAATCAAAATATTTTTAATTACACAAGGTGCTGGGCGAAACAAAAAAGTTATACTATACTACAAATATACTGTATTTTTCCTACCCGCCTAAGGGCTGAGTGACGTCGGATCAAGCAGAGTCAACGTTATGTGGTAACATTGGTTGTCGACAAGTAGTGATATATATCCCACACTGTAAATTTTATGAGTTACGATCTTCATTTTATGAGTACAGTATTTTTATTTATTCAGTTTTCAATTGAGAAACAAAAAAGCATTGTACTTTTTTAGTAGAGTGTTAAACACTTGTTGCCGAGTGCAATAAAGTTTGTTTTTCAGAATCCGCACTTTATTTTGGCTACGCCCTATTTAATGGTACTTTAAATACGTCACAACATAACGCCAATGAGCTGTGATACGAGTATATTCACCTTTTTTTTTGCCATTCTTATGTCGATATTAAGGCGACTTTGACGTAATTTATGACGAACATTTCACGTGTTATCTGGGATGATTATTTGTTATACCTCTAATGTGCTGCCGTTACAATATTAATAATTAATTTTTAATATAGTAACATTTGACTAAGTTAAACTACAAATGCCCAATTATATACATTTCAATACATCAGTTTGGTTTCCCACAGATCCGAGCCACTTCAGACATTTCAGGGGTTTGAGAGCAGCCGAATGTTTTCGAAGATATTTTCCATGGCTTGAGTGTCAGTGAATGTATCCGTGTTTTTTTGCCAAAACGTACCCAAACACTAACGGTCGTAGAAAAAGTATAGTGTGCAACACTTTAAAGGCAGCAAGTTAAAATAAAGGGTGATTATTTTGCTGTTTGGTTTTTCAGAGCTCTGTTTATGACAGATCGCGCGTGATTCGTGCCATGTGTCGAAATCAACGTTTAGTATGGATTACCATTTTATCATGGAAAAATTGACAAACGAACAAAGCAATGAAACAATCAGTTTCACGCGCTTCAGTCATATTATGGTAGTCATAATCTCCCTTCTGACTATTGAAGCCATAATGACAAAATTTCGCCACCATGCATCACTTTCACGTTATTAGAGATCAAACAACCCCTCAGGTGCTTAGACTGCGATTGAAGTAAATATTCGTGCCAGAGTTGCTAAAGATCGTGATTTTACATTCGTCGTCGATCGCAGCAACTGAGATTACGTGGCAATTTTTTAGTTGCCATGTGGTTTTAACAAGGCGGTGGCACATGCCACACAGTACACGAAAAGATCTTGGACTAGTGCATAGGCTGCCAAGATCGGACGATTTGAGACTGTTGTTGGACTATGTTTTGTAAGGGTACGTCAAATATTGAACTGAGGTGGCTTTTAATTGATAAAAATCCATTTATCAAAATAAACAAGAACTAAAACTTTATATATATATATATAAATATATATATATATATATATATATATATATATATATATATATATATATATATATATATATATATATATATATATATATATATATATATAAATTATAAATTATATATTTTTACATGACAATTGTTTGGACAACACCGTGTCTTTATCAAATCTAATATTTACAAACTACCTGCTACTATATATACCCAAAAATGACCATAAAACCTTAATTAATGTTGTTGTGAGAATTTAAGTTCAATAAGTATTTAAATCTAATTGATCGTTAAGCAATACATTTGAATGTCTCATTTTGTTAATCTTAATGACTTCCAATAGATTTTATTTCTACTTTTTGTGGCTGTATGTAAAATATCAAAGTTGTCGTCAAAAATGTGTTTTTCTGTGTTTAAGTATGTAGCATAATTAAAATCTAGACTATTGTTTTTAAACGCTCTTTTATGTTCGTTAATCCGTTTCTTGAAGGATCTACCTGTTTGTCCAATATAAATTTTAGGACAAGATCCGCATTTCAACCTGTAGACACCTGATTTTTGAGATTTTGGACATTTCATTGTATTGTTTTTTAAAAATTTTCCTATTGTGTTGTTAGTTCTGAAAGCTATTTGTAAACCACATTTTGAAAAATGTTTTGAAACTTTTTCATTAGGTTCTCCTATGTATGTAATTGTTTTAAATTGTTCGTATTCTGTATTAGGTTTCGGATAAAGAGTTTACTGTTGTCTGGATTTGTTTTTTATTTATAATTTTATCTATAATGGACGGATTGTAGCCGTTGTTCAGTGCAATTTGTTTAATGATATTAAGTTCTTAGTTGTAATTTTCTGTTGAGAGTGGCGTATTAAGAAGTCTGTGTATAAAAGAGTTAAATGCAGCCATTTTGTGTGTATAAGGGTGATTTGAGCTGTTATGTACGACTGTGTCCGTGTGTGAAGGTTTATGATATATTGAAAAATCTAATTTGTTTTGCGCTTTCGTAATAGTTGTCTAAAAAATTAATAGAGTTGTCCTGTTCAACCTCGATAGTGAATTTTATACGATTATGTAATGAGTTAATGTAATTTAAAAAAGAATTCAATTGTCTGTCCGTTCCAACAAAGCAAGCAAAAAAATCATCCACGTATCTATACTACCATAGAAAACTTTTACTTAAAGGATGTTCTAGTATGATATTTTCCAAATTATGCATAAAAATCTCGGCTAAAAAAAAACTAAGTGGCTTTCCCATAATCAAACCTTCATTAGAGATGTAAATCTGTCCATTAAATTCAAAATAATTTTGGTCTAAAGATACTATTAACCAATCTAATAAATCTTGTTTCACCAATGGGTTTCCGAGTTAGGATGAAATCTACTAAATCTATCACATTTATAGGTGGAATACTGGGAAATAAGTTTTGTTGCGTTAGAAGGGATTTTTATATCTTTAATTTTGTTGATTAATTCAAAAGAATTTTTTATTGCAAATTTTGGTATAAAGTTCCACACAGATTTGTCGAAACAATTGTCATGTAAATAATATATAATTTCGTGTTCGTTCTTAGTTATTTTAACGTCAAATCTGTTATTTATTCAGATAAAGTATGGATCACCTAAAACGTAGTCGTGGCTATCTTTCACATGAAATAATCCTAAATGTCCAATCCTAAATAAAATTTTATTCTTTTTTCCATTTCGTTTGCGCTTTAACAGATCATAGAAAAATAAGTTTTTTAATATTTTTGTATATATGTTTGAAAAGTAGTTACGGAATCATAAACAAATATATTGGAAAAATCGTAATATTTAAAACTATAAAATGTTTGGTTTAACAAAATATTTTTCTATAGTCACGCTTTTATATAATTGAGAATATTTTTAAAATGTTGATTTTTGATTTTATGTAACATTTATTAAAACCTTTTCTCAAAATAATGATAAATAAGTGAGATATAGAGTTACTTTGCCATAATATTGCGTCACCCTTTATAAACTGCTCGCAACAAATAACATCCTAGGAAATTAAAGCAGTTACTTACTAACAAGGAGGCACTTACTCGCATAATTCGGGAACGTGGTAACCTTCGTCCAATCGAAATTTGGCTACCGGAACTGCCATTGTTATTTCCCAACCCTGGTTCTCTTTATCGAAGGCTCTTCTGAGTTCTTGTACAAAGTAGAGGAAAACGTCTTTATCTGAGAACTTTCCGCCGCGATCGGATGCCCCGGGGTATTCCCAATCCAAATCGAAACCATCGAACTTGAATTTTTTCATCAGTTCTATTGCAGAAAGAATAAAATTTACACTCTATCATAAATTCAAACATTATATCATTACTAGTTAGCTTTTGCATTACTACCGTAAACTTTAATTCAAATAAACGTAACCGTTTCCCTCACTCTCCAACAAAAAGAAGCATACTCGTTAGTTGTTCTACAATTTTAAATGATTTAAGTAATTGAAACAAAAGCCAAAAGGGGCGTTTCTCTTGATATTCAATGAATATTCATCTCATATTCATAATTTTCCTAATTTCGTGACAAGATTTTATCATTCAAAGTTTTCGTTCGGTTTCTTAAGAAACATACGAATCAAACTCGAAGTCCTGAAAACATTAAATTAAAAATTCCAAAAGGTCGTTTTCCTTCAAAAAATTAATTAACATAAAACGCCCGTTAAAACAAAACGAATAAAAATAAGTTTTAAAGGGCCTTTTTTAATTATTGAATTTTTCAAAAGTTGCGAGGTCATGAAAAATTAATACCAAAGTTAATTACCAACTACGCTCCTAATAAAACTGTCCCGTCGCGACTTCTGGGAAACCATAGCGGAATACTTTTCTCCACCCTCAGCCCATCCACCCACCGCTACTTGCAATTTAACGTCTGGATTGGTTTTCTTTAAATCAGTAAAATTTTTGAAGCCGTTTTGATGGATGTCAAACTGGAAGACAAAAATTGGAAACAAGTTTAATAAATGCCATTTTAGTCACGAGTATGCTTTAGCACGAGCGGGCAAGTGTTTAATAAACGAGTGATTAAAGAAGTTGGCATACACTTTACTTAGAACCATTAGTTTTTGAGTACATTTTGTATCCTAAAATCTACTGAAAATATCCGACACTTTGCGCAAGCCTGATCAGTGCATGATTAGGTATTTTAGAGTCAGGAGTTGAAAACATAAGACTGATTTTTAATAAAGATTTTACAAAAGAAAAAGCTATTACTTTTTGAGTAGTCCCGATCCAATAGTACTCGTCCTCGGGTTCGTGCATATAATTCCGGCAATTTTTCTACTTTACTACGTAAAGTTTAAAATATATCTACGGGGTCACGTCAACAAAGTATAGATCATTACTTAATGTTTTTATTGAGATTATATGAACTTTCTTTCCACAAATAATACTATCATTCTATTACGTTTATATCACGCCTTTAATCATACGAGAGTTTTTCTTGTAAAAAATTTCTAAAGATATTTCGAAGAGTTATCCAAATCCTGACGAAAATGAAAAGGACATGAGCATGGTTAGGAGGCACGATCGACGGATGCTTGTGGTCTCGATTTCTAAAATTTGGTAACGATTAGGCTGCATAATGTTAACTTTTAAACTCTTCGGAAAATCCCTTAATCGATTAGAGAAACAATTTTTTTATGACACTAACGATCCTAATGCTGCTATGATTTTTCTTTCGTTATTTGTTAAAAAGATGAATAACTAAAATAAAAAATCAACCCCCATTAGCATCAAGCCTAGAAGACCGATATTAGAAAATACAAAAAAACAAAATTTCTGCGAAACGTCAGCAATTTCGACTAAGCAAAAACCGACGCAGGAGGAATCCAGAAGTTTTGTAAAAATCAATTATCATTAGAATTCTAAATTAACAAATTGTCGTCGGTGTTGTGAATTTTATTTTGGGTATTATTTGTTTCATCAACCTGTTTCATAGAATCATCATATAAATTACTGATAATACATGTTAAACGGGCCTTTAAAAATTACAAATAATTCCTGATGGAACACTATATATTTTAACGATTGTACATCAATATATCGGCAGAAGTAATAGTCTTCAGTAATATTTAAGTTTTTGTCCACGCCATTGTTTTATCACTTTAAAAAACAACGGTTCGTGGCAAGATATGTTTGACCCTAAAGTTCTATTTGAACGCAAACATTACGTTTCAAGTTGAATAATAATGTATTCCTATCATGGGTTTTGTCAACATTTGATGGCACGCAATTGAAACTCGCGAAGCATACCAATACAATACAATGCGCGTTTATGAACTGTAATTGAAGATAAAATTGAGTTAGTGACACGAAAGTGTTGCTTGAAAATGGTTTCGACCAAATTCGGCCATGAATATTTCAACTTCCCTAATTGGGATTCAGGTTGACATAAATGCATCCGCATTGATTAGGTCGGCAATGGGATTTCTAAAAAATATATGTTGCTCACGTACCCGAAAATGGTAAATTTTAATATCCTTTTTGTTAGAGAACATAAATATTTTAGAAATTCGATTCAGTACTGATAGTTTTATAACTTGAAGCTTCATTCGGATAAAAAATTCCATTTTTCTACGTTCAAATATAGAAACAATTTTTAATTGTTTTATGCTACTAACTACAAATAAATCCGGCGTAGGGTGTTTCAAGGTCCGCCCCGAAATTCAGTAAACTTTGTTTAAATCAAATTTTAAAAAATGCAATCTAAGGTGGGTTGCTTAAACAAGGTCGCTAAAGAATTTTATAAAATGGTCATAGTTTATTGCGTGGACCAAAGATATTTAAAAATTCACTACTATAATTACCTCTGGGTCAATGAGTAGTACTTCCCATGATTTGTCGTCAACTCCAATAAATGAGTAAATTATGTGAGTACATAAGTTTGCAGGAATGTCATTTATGCCATAACTGCCGATATCAGGTCTGTATATGGCCCACGTGCCATAATAACAAACTACTCGTGATTTGTCCGCATCTGAAATCAGAATTGGTCATGATTTTATTTCCCTCATTTTTATGAAGTTAATTAAAGTTATGAAATTAATTTCCAAAAGTAATCTGGAATGAATTTCAATATTTCTTGAAAAGAATTTTACCCATCGGAAAAACACTGATGCCAATTACAGGCCTTGTGCAATGCTATAAGTAACATGCTAAAATGCAATAATGAACATGAATCGAACTTACCAGTAATTTGCAAGGTGATGAACAGAAAAAGTGGCCCCAGAATCCACTTCATGTCTACGGAATAAAAGCAAACCCTGAAATAAACGTGATAATCCTTTATTTATATAGGCAGTGTTGATAAATAATGGAAATTCTGATATTTCATTGTGGACATGAATACGCGGTTATCTCTGATTCACCTGTGTTGTACACACACAATATTTGATTATCTGTTTTAATAAATTCGCAAAACGGTTACAACAAATAAGCTTCTAAAATGCAACGCAAAATTCGAACATTAATGCACCTTATTCACTGATTGCTACGTTACTATGAAATTTTTTGTTCTTGTTACTTATTTATTTTATTTCATTGTTTTAATGTTATTTATTTAATTATTTATGACAACAATAATTTTGATCTAATTTTTATGTGTTTTCCTTCATGTTAATTCATTAAAAATTCAATTTTTTTCAAGCGCTTTTATATTTTTTATACAAAAAATCCATTTTCACTTCTTATATTTAAATAAACATTGGACAATTTAAGAGCTATAATAGTAGTAGCATTTAGTAGTTACTTCATTTCCTTTGAGGTATTACCTTATTATTATTTATACCGACCTATCGTAAAAGTTAGGGATGCTTTTGAGAAAGGAAAAGATAAAATCTACTTATTCTCGAAGATACTTGAAAGTGACGTTGCTTGCTAATTCGCTTTACAAGCATTTTGAGCATAATATGTGGTTCAAAGAAACATTTAGTTTTAGTGGTAGACTGTTGTTTGATAACCCTAAGAAAATAAGACTTCATATATATTTTTTTTATAGTTTCGTAATATCACCAAATAAAATGTAGTTGCCAAAATAATACGATTTAAAATTGGTTCTATCCTATTCTACAATAGAAATATCACTTGTCTTACTACAGATTATTGAATTTAAACAAAGTTAGTATCTTCGGGGTGAAATTCAAAATTATATTCCTAAATTAAAGACACTGTATACCAGCGGGTTATCTGTCTATATAAAGCAATCCGTTTCGTAAATAAGTAAAATTAAAATTTAATTTTACGAAACATAAAAAATAAGTCTCCTATAAAAAATGAATTTGAGGAATAGTAATGTTTTTCAAATATTGGGTATTAGAATTAAGCAACTGGGGAGAAGGCCAATAAGCTAATTTTAAATTAACGCGCAGGGTTGTTGTTGTTTTTATGACTTGACAATATATTTGCACAACTTTTTTTTTCCTATTTCTATCTCTTCTGTTAAAATTTCAATATATAGAAAAAATAGAGAAATACCCTACATGTTACACTACTAGCACCCACACAGACTGTAAAAAATATAATTACACAGAAAAATCGTGACGTGAAAAGACGTGACTTTTTTATGTATAATATACCCATATTTTTAATGTTCAAATTCAATAAAAAAACTCAGCGTTATTCAAGTTTTCTTATATCCATTTTTATCCTTATTAAAATAAAAATTGATTGTTATTTTAAAAATTATTTAAATAACTATAATTAATAAATAAAATTCAATTTATTGATCAATTAATCTTATTAATCTACAAAAGCCAATTTCAGAAGAATCAGAAAAATAAAATTATAACGCAAAAACTATGTGTATTTTTTTATTTTAAACACAAACCTTCCTTCCGTGATACTTTCTTCTTTGAAACGATCGCATTAGCTATATGCGAAACCGCTATACCATGAACGGTTATTGCAGAATAGCCGCGAATTTAGCGTGAAATATTATGAATTTAGCGTGTTATAGGAGCTTTTACAGGGATTACTTTTAAAAAATATATGAAAACCGGATTAAAACAGCGCGGTAAATAATATCAACAAAATCCACGACACAGTCAAAGGATTTTAATTTGGAATGCATACATTTTTTGTGCAGTTCTTCTGAATACGCACACCACTGACATTTTTATCAAGCAGTTCATTGAGCTGCATGAATCATATATATCTTCCACATTAATTATTCAGAAATGTGAAATATATTAACCAGCAGGAGGCGTAAAATTCCATTAGCCGCCTCCTAGTCAATGTTGAGTAAATAGCAGTTCCGACGAACCAAACAAATTTCCGATTACACCCAGCTAATTAATTAATAATTCATTTGCTAATTAAATATTAAACATTGAAATTCGATAATAAGTTGCTATTTCAGAAAATAACACAGCAGCATCGTCGGTTTCGTCAGTTTAGAATACCTAGTCCAATTGCAGAATGGCAAGTTTTATTCTATTAAAAACTTAAGACGTCATGATGAGTCGGGAAATATTTACGCGTTCTATCACAGGCAAAATAGTGCACAAAGACACATTCTCATAATATTCAATGAAATAGCTGAATTCGCCAGCGCAATGTCCACTAACGTTCAATAAAGCTTTTGCGATGGTTAGTTTTCCAAATTGTTCAGGTATTTCTGTATTTCCAATTACTTACTAAAAGTAGTAATAATACAACATGACGCAATTAAATGGAAAAGTGTGAACGTATTGGATAAATTCTTAATGCCTACTTTAGTCAAAAATCCCCTAGTTTGGCAAACACTAAACAGTATTAATACAATAATTTCCATTTCTGAAATTTCTTGTGTAAATTGGCAACCCTTATATTTAAACAACTATTTCTTTCATCATTAAATTAATTTTTAAAATTGTTAAGCTTGGCAATAATTATTTCTGCAGTTGAGCACTGGATTGAATACAATGCAATGCCAAACATTGTATATACACAGTGTCAATAAAGTGGTAATACATAAGCGATACATAATACTCTAAATAATTAAATTCATTATAAGTATTAATTTATAAAATGGTATTAATATCCATTTCCGTAACAAAAGTTATACAACAAAAAAAATTATACAAGGTGAAATCACCCTAAATTGCGGTTTTCGAAAGGGTGTGAAAAAAATAACGGGCTTTGATCACCGGAAGGAAGAATTAAAAAAAAACTGTGCCCAATTTAACAACGAAATAGTGATTGACAAATATGATCGACTATAACGGTATAGTGGCCGATGTGTATTGGATTGATCACCTTGATCGGTTTTAACATACTTTACAGAGTTTAAATTCTTACCACTTTTCTTTTTTATTTTCCAATAAAGTATGGTAACATTTTTCAAATTAAATATTTATTCTGCTCTACATTCAATTATCATTTAATGAATAATAAATTAAATCAATTTTTATTGTTTTTAGAAATTGATTTATTTATAGGTACCTGAGCAGATTTTTATTAAAAATTAATTATGTATATTTAATAATTTTTATGACTAAAAGTTCTCTTCGTGAAGTAAGAATAATAAATCAAGTTTTAAACACACGATGAAAAGAACAAAAAGAACTCTATTGAAATAATTGTGCAAATAATGTGCTGAATCTCCCAATACCAAAATTCATATAACCATATGTCAAAAATTTCAAAGATTTGTAGTTTGGAGTGTAAACTTGAATGTAAAATCCGTTTGAATATTTGCGAAATTAGCGTGCAGTGTGTGTGTGTGTTACTTTTCAAAAAATTGATACACAAAAATAAACATATTTGCAAAACTTATAATATCTGAAAGTCCTTAATTATTGGTTGTATTCAAACTGTATACTTAATATCTATTGATACTTACGGATGGTATGTTCCTTAACCGCGATTTGAACAATATCCAAACGGTAAACTTTTGTTCAAGTAACCGTGCACCTTGACTGAAAGGTTCTTTGGACACCACCTCTTAGGTAAATCTGATATTCAAATCGAACCTCTTCTTTTATTTATACACCAGTCGGTTGACATTTTTGTGTGTCATCGACCATCGTACCATTGAACTTGGTTTAATAAAGGTGTTCTTTTGTTGTGGTGGAAACTTTATGCAGCCTTTGGGATTTATCGAACGGAAATCGTAAATTATTCTAATCATATATGATGGTACCTTGCAACATTATTTTTCTACGCGCGTCATTTGCTCGCGAAAAATTTATTCAGATGGATGAGATTGGTGATAGCACAGCAATTGACTGTTTATGGATTTTGATATTTTTTAGAAATTATATTATATATATATATATATATATATATATATATATATATATATATATATATATATATATATATATATATATATATATATATATATATATATATATATATATATATGATGACACAATATTCCGGGATATCATCCGTTCGCTCGTTGAACTCCGATTGGAACCCTGCAAATCCTGCATCCGACTGGAATCCTGCAGACGTTTCGCCAAAATCTCACTTGGCATCTTCAATGCTCGCGCTCCGAAAACACTTCGAACACTGGTGCAGGATTTGCAGGATTCCAGTCGGATGCAGGATTCCAGTCGGAGTTCAACGAGCGAACGGATGATATCCCGGAATATAGTGCCACCACATTTTTCCATCCGTGAATCAATACGTGAGAATATATATATATATATATATATATATATATATATATATATATATATATATATATATATATATATATATATATATATATATATATATATATATATATATATATATATATATATATATATATATATTATACTCACCATTATTGCCATCTTGTTCGAAATCTTCCAGTTTTCAATGGTCAATACGAAAAATAAACCGGAGAGGAATTGTTGTGTACAGTAACAACGAATTCCAACTAATCACGGCATTTCTGAAGTAACATTTTCTCAAAATATCTCTAGATCTCATTAAATGTTCTGGAAACAGAGTGTGAAAAATTAGATGGTGTTATTCATTCCTCTATAATATTGTTAAGGAATTTTCGTTTGTTAGTGCTGTCAAGTAAATTTTTTGGGACCAGCTGTAGAAAATACCTAAAATTGCAATCTACTTATTTTAGCCAAGTCTAAGAGACAAGCACTGATAATACACTTCAGAACGTGGGAGCAAGATTAATGCGGCGAAAAATTGCGTTTATCGGCTTTACCAGTGATAAAGAGGAAGATATTGCGAACACATCAATCGAAATTTCTGACAGTTTCATGTTTTGAAAGTTCATCGAATATTTTATTTGTATTGTAGTTACATAATGCATTTGAGTCAAAAACATATTTTGTAATAGGGGTAAATGTTGCTCTGCTTTGTTAACTGGCGTTTGTTCAACTTATCTTCAAAATTGCGACAAAATCCTTCCAAAGAAAGGTTAAACGATGTATAAATGTTATATAATGGCTTTCCCTATTTTCCTGCTCAAAAATTTTCTTCCGGAAAATTACGATTTTATAATAGGTCGGTAATAGTGGTGGATATCTTACCACTATGTGAATCATTTACTTTATTTATAAAATTTTTTCTTTTATAATTTGGAACAAGGAAGGAAATTAAATTGGATTAGAAGAAGGCAGCTAATCCAAACTCTCTTCCCGTTATACTTGAATGTGATCCCACAAATACTACTTCCGCCAACATTGTAAAAAAAATAAACACAATTATCTTGTAAGCTTTATAAATTGTCATTGATTTTTTTTGGATTCTCCCAATTTTTTGCAATCTAGTTTCTCGGAATTACGATAAACGATTCCAAGAAAAAAAGAATATTTAAACTATTCCTCTTCATGTATCTTACTGGCAAAAGTTGAAAAAATATTTATTTGTTTGTTTATTTTAAATATTGATATATATATATATATATATATATATATATATATATATATATATATATATATATATATATATATATATATATATATATATATATATATATATATATATATATATATATATATATATATAACAGGAGAATATTTATTGAACGAATATTGTTGCCCCCTGTAGTGAAATCGATTTTTACCCGTCAAATAATTTATTGATAATATGTTAATGTTGACATATTAGTCATATATAGAAGAAACTAAATAAAATCTACATACAATTCTTTAAACAAGTTTCAAATGCATCTCCCCAATACGGTCATTGGCATGGGATGAACTTTACCCATATTCTAAGTGTGGGTTATTAACCGTTAATAATACAAGGCATCGGACTATTAAGTCTTGAAATTTATTTTGTGAACCCTGGGCTGATTTATTTATACTTTTAATATTAGAAAGGTAACAGTAAAACCAGATGTAACATGCTAGTGGAACATCAAGGCACTAAAACTGTTCAAAATAAATAAGAACTAAAAGTTCAGATTTTCACGAAATTATATATTATGACATGACAATTGTTTCGACAACACCGTGTCTTTATCAAATTTGAGGTGTCTACAGGTTGAAATGCGGATCTTGTCCTAAAATTTATGTTGGACAAACAGGTAGATCCTTCAAGGAACGGAAAAGAGCGTTTAAAAGCCATAGTCTAGATTTTAATTATGCTACATACTTAAACATAGAAAAACACATTTTTGACGACAACTTTGATATTTTACATACAGCCACAAAAAGTAGAAAATAAAATCTATTGGAAGCCATTGAGATTAACAAAATGAGACATTCAAATGTATTGCTTAACGATCAATTAGATTTAAATACTTATTGAACTTAAATTCTCACAACAACATTAATTAAGGTTTTAAGGTCATTTTTCGGTAGTTTGTAAATATTAGATTTGATAAAGACACGGTGTTGTCCAAACAATTGTCATAAAAATATATAATTTCGTGAAAATCTGAACTTTTAGTTCTTATTTATTTTGATAAATGAATTTTCATCAATTAAAAGCCACCTCAGTTCAATTTACTAAAACTGTTTTCTGCCCTCTTTAGTTATTAGCACTTATTTATTTAACTATTTAAAAATATAAGTCAATCAACAGAGTGAACCCAGTGACACTAATCACAAAAAATACCTAATACAAAATAAATCTTAATCAATAATAACAAACCCGAGGATACTATTGTATGTTAAGTGTTATGACCTCATATTCAGTTTTCTGCATCCACATTTTTTTTACTCCTATTTGCGCACCTATACGTTACTTTTTAATCTGATTTTTTTTCCACAAAGGTTACCTTAATAATATACTTTCTTATAAACACCACTAGGATCCGCTAAAAATTTAATAAAAACTAGCAATATCATATATGTTCGTGGGTCAATTTGGAAAGTCCCCTTTCTAAACGAGATAGAAAAAAACTGCTGTGTGGAGCTTAATTTTCATAAAAATACAAATCCCGCACGTAGATATTCTGTTACCGTTTCATAATTATAGTGTGTTTATCGAAAATGTCCGTGTGTTTTTGAGGTGAAATATTTTATATTTTTATAAAACATTTCCAAAACAATTTTTAAGTAGAATTTTATGGTTTAAGTATAATAATTTTAAAAACAATAGTTTATTAGGTAGGATACCCTGTATTTATTTGAAGAACTTAAAATTTTATTTATTTTACAAGCTTTCTAAAGGTTTGTCCATTTTGAACAAGTAGGCGGAGATCGGCTCAATCAATCCCTTCATAAATAAATAAACTAATGGGAAACGGACACTGGTCTGGTCCTTTGGCAAACTTCCTTTTCAGAGTGCAGTTAACAATAGCAGCACCGGCTTCGTTGCAGAATCAGTAGATAGCATCCGCTTCTACAATTGCTACGCACCACCTAGCCTCTCCGATGCTGATTGTACTGAATTCTTAGATCAACTAGTCGAGGACGCGAAGAAGCATCAAATGGCCAGAATACTAGAAGAACTAATAGGGTATCTAACTACATTCGGTGGAGAGTAAGGTCCTTCGACGCAAGTTCACTGACAATAGCCTTGAATAGTGACGGGGTCATCCCTGGATGCGTAGAAGAACAGACCGAAGACCTGATGAAAAGCTTGTGACGCCAGTATGCCACGTAAATATAGCATAAAAACCATCGGTGCACTGGTGGAACGATCACATCAGCGCTCTTCGTAAAGAGTATCATAAGAAAAGACAAGTATCTCAACGTGGCTATCGATGATCTAACTCTGCGGAACTAGTGGCAGAGTATAAGAAAGCCAGTCGATTACTGAAGGATAGCAAGAGAAAATGCTGGATGGAGCTCAACGAGGTGGGCAAAGATGGGGGAAGGCCATACAAGGTCGTCATGCCCCATCTCAAAAGCCAGCCAATGCCTTCACTTACATGCCCAAAACTTCTACAGAAGATAGTAACAGGCTTGTTTCCACAGCAACGTGAATTCAATTACCAGGTAGCTCAGGCCAAACTGAAGAACATTCCACCTGTCACGGAAGAAGAACTGATGTGTCAAACTAGTAGCATATGCGGACGATATAGCCGTAGTAATCGACGCCAAACACCCTGACGAGATTCGCCATATGTTTGATATTATCTTTAAGAAAATTAACCGTTGGATGGATAGAGTAAACCTGCAGCTGGCCAAGCATAAGACCGAGGCAGTGCTTATTACAAGCAGAAAGAAGATAGATCAAGCTTACAGTCGGCGAACAAGAAATCACAGCACAACCTTATATATGCCCGACTCAACTTCAAGCAGCAAGTGGAACACGTCAGTGCCAAAGCGTCGGTGGTGAGGGTTAGTCTCGCACGACTGATGCCTAACGTCGGCGGCCCAAAGCAGAGCAGAAGGCTACTATTGTCATTAGTAGCCACATCAGTACTTACTTATGGAATATCCATTTGGGCTGATGCACTGGACACTCAAGAATCATGGAGAAAGACTGGTCCAGTCTATCGACTGAGTGCCCTACGAGCAGCTAGCACCTTCCGCACAATATCTGAGGAAGCGGTGTGTGTTATCTCGGGAACTCTGCCTCTTAGAGTTCAAGCTGAGAAGAGACGGACCCTTTATCATCAGAAAGGGTCAACTACGCTAAGCGCTGAAGAACTTAAAACAGAAGAACGGCAAAACAGCATAAACCAGTGGCAGCTACAATGGAATGCCGCAAAGAAGGGAAGATGGACAGACATTTGGCTGAACCGAAATCACGGCGAGGTCAACTACTACCTTACGCAGATGTTGTCAGGCCATGGCTGCTTCCGAGAGTATCTACACCGCTTTAAACAAAATAATTCTTCAAAGTGTCCGTCTTGCCCAAGAGTCGATGAAGATGCGGAACACGATTAGCAAAGCAATTTTATCGTTATATTAAGCCCAGTAGACACGATACAATTTTTACATGTATTTCTGCATGTACTTTTTCATGTAAATATTGCAACGTGTCTAGTACCAAATTACCAGCTATTTTTCTCGAATTTGTATGTGTAAATCGGCTCAAAACATTTGTTTTCATAAACTAATAGGTACTTTTAACTTCTATAAAAAACGTAAATAAAATCGAAATCACGAAAGATGACTTTTGAAAGTCTAAATATAACTTTATAAGATACTATATATCCCTCAGGAAAAATCTAAGTTGAAAGAATATTCAAAAGGCAACTGTAGAACCTTCTATAGACAGAATTTGGAGAAAAAAAATAATTTCGGTATGTAAAAGAATTGAGCAGAAATTTAATAAATGACCTTTAAAACAAAATTTCACCAAAATAATCAAGCCCATTTTGCTTTTAAAAAAATGCACCTTGTCCACCATTAAAAAATTGCCAGTTAAAAATGCATGAATTTTTAACAGCAATTTCTACCTGCTAAAAATACATGTACAAATTACTTGATACCATTGTAATTGAATATAGGCAATGCGCATTAGTTTCTACTAAATTTGCCTTAACTGTTTTTGATGAAGAAAAGGTTTTAACGAATTACTACTTGGTTTCTAGTATTCTATGGTTTTGACATACCGGAAACAGCTGTTTTTTGACTTTTAACAAGAATTGTAGAATATTGTCAATATCAATGTTTGATTAGTACAAAACAAAATCTAAAATTATACCTAGAACGTTGCAATATTTTAGAACTTTTGAAGTAAAATGCAATAAACTTTGTAACATGGTTAAAATGGAGAATTATTTGTGTCAAGAAAACATTCAAGAATTGTGGCTTAAAATAGACCATCTTCATATCAACTATTTGGAGATGGAGGAGAGCTCGAACAAAATTGAGCAACGGTCAAGACTAGAGGGTGAGATTATTGAGGTGTTTCTACAAAGTGGCGCTTTATAAATTTTTCAAAGAGACCTGTGTGCCATTAAACCATTACAACTCAACTGCCTCATTTAAGCAAATCGATGTTATTTGATATTCAAATTTATCAACTTCATACAAACTTGAGGTATACTGTAAAGTATACTAAATGTCAGCCCATAAGAATAAACTTCCCATGCTATTCTGAATTGTTATTTTGTACTTTGTAAAAACAATGATAGATCAGATAAATTTTTAACTTATTTGATACACCATTATGAGTGAATTGTTCAAAACTACTTTGTAATAAAAGAGGTACAAACAATTAGGTTGTTTAAACAGCTAGGTGCTTTTGGTTTACAGCATCAGTGAGGTAATCTATATCTAAAAAAATAGAGTTTAGGAATTAAAAGTATTTTGGTCAATCATAATATTCCTTTATTTTAGCCTGCATAAAAGATTTCCTCTATATTGCATCTCCACAACAAAAGTTTGCTCTGCATGAAACTGAAGATGTCTTATACAGATCTGCGGCAAATAAAAAAGATTTTAGTGGATACAAAGCTGCAACTGGATTTAATGCTATACAGATGTATGCTGGTAACCTGATCTCCCAGCCATGGAGAAAAGAATATCATCAAATTAGGGTTAGTATCAATTGAAATTAAAAACCCATTGGCTGCTATAGTTTATGTTAATCATATGAAAGATTAGTGCTGAGAAAATATATTGAATCAAAAAAGTATCCCTGCAATTTTAAGAGATATTGAAGTGAAATTTGTTAGTTCAGGAAGTTAAATCCTATTTGGTTAATTTTTTTTTATACCAATTTTGTTGCCGGGAAACGCTGTACTACATTTCCTGAGAATTATTTGATCTTTTATATACAGTCAAATCAACTTAATTTAATTATCTGCATAATGATTATTTAATATACTTGTAGACATATTGTGGATTTTATAAACATCAAGTTGAAGCTAACCTTTTGGGTGCTGATAGAATATTTGAAGCGATGGGATATAAATATATTGGAAATGGTATTTTACAATTAGATGGACCAATTTGTCCAGATCGTGTATCACATGTGTCCAGAGATTGTCTAATTGCCTATGTTGAGTGTCAGGTAACTACTGTCCTTTAACTTTATGTACTTATTAATTATAGATTTCTTTTTAGATTTTAAAACATATTTGGGAAGAGGTATCTCCAATGTTTAATATTAGTTGGTTGGATATGCTGGAATTTCGCAAAGTGCATCTCAGTGATCCTAAGCAATGTGTGCAATTTATTCAGTATAATTTGAAACAAGGTCATTACCAAGACAAGCTTAGCAATTTGCATTCAAAATATCCAACCCTTTCTCACAGCCACCCAGCAATTCAAAATGGGAACTCGTGCAACTCATTTCCTTCCCAAATTCATACAGCAGTCTCACCATACACAGGTAATCACATAGTAAAAAATTAAACCACATGGATTTTCATTTATTTTTTTTTCTTATTTTGTAAATTTTATTTGTGGTTGAAATTGCCTTTAGGTCGCTGTGGAGGCAAGTTACTTGCACAAGCAACTAATTAAATTACAATGCCCATATATAGAGGCCTTACCAATGCTGATACTCCCTCTATATTAAACCATCTAAACTAAGTTTTGCTCTATAAGATTATGTCTAAAGAGGCAAGCAGTAATTGATATTTCCCAACAATTTAAAATAATATTGTAGACAATTTTTTGTTGTACTTATGTGCCAAACTAAATTTGGCTAGGGATTTTGGTGTATTAAGTCTTATTTTTTGATTTTGATATCTCAAATTATTTTTTTAAAATTAATTTCAGTCATTTGCTACTTGAAAAGTGTTTTTTTAATGTTGCTAAATTTCGTTTTAATGTTAAAAAATTCGTGTGATTTTTGATATATAATAGTTACTTACTGCTTGAAAATTTTATAAATTAATAATTCTTATGTTAGTTCCTATCTAAATAATTAACTCGCTTATTTAACAATTCCTCAGCCAAATCTAATGTTAGAAACATATACAGGTTTCAGGTCTTAATAATATTCCATGTATATCACCTATTTACGAGCTCATTTACTGAATAAATTATCTCAGTATGAACCAAAATACTATTATAATCCAAAATTTATACCACTTTTCCTTTGAACTAATATGATTTGTCAAATTTTAGACTAATCTACTATCAGAGTAAAATTTTGAATTTCAGTAGTCCAAAATTGCCAACATATGTAAGTGTCGCAGGAGACTGTAATTTGTAGTAGCCCTATGAAATTGTCACCATCGTTTGAAAATTTTGGTTATTTTTGAGAAAATATATCTTGCCAAATATTTTTGGATAAGTAATACTGTTACAGTTCAACTGTTACTAAAAACTCGCGCCCGATAGGTATTGTGAAAAGTAATGGCACCTGAATAACAATTGACCAACTAAAGAGCAGACCAGACACTTCGCAAATGATCACCAATAAACATTTTACAATAAAAATTGTAAATATTATATTGAGCCCTTAACAGTACAAATGTAGCATTTCACACTTTGCACTATTCTTTTAATACATGCCATGAATATATCATAATATAAATTTCTGTATTGCAGCAGCCACTTATAGTGTGTGCATGAACGGTTGTTGTCCCCACATGTACTCAACGTGCAATTATCTTCCTTTTAATCCTCACCTTGCACTTAAACGTTCATCCCAAACTGTATTACCACCTGCTGGACATTATCCCAGTGATTATCCCAATACACCTTCTTCATGCTCTTACCCTGTTCCTACTGCACAGTTGATTGAATTAGAGACACCAAATGGATATGATGTTGTTGATGCCCCGACAGTGTCATCTAGACCAAGAAAAACAACTTACCCAACACACGATGTGCACGAGAGACCTTATAAAAATGGGGCAATCTACAATAATGGCGTCGCCAAAAGTGGTGGAAATGAAGAATTTGAAAATTGGGATTATGTTTATCGCAATTTAGAGAGTCGAGGGTAAACCTTTTCTTGTTTGGGTTACATATTTAGCATTTCTTAGACTAAGCACAACCTAAATTGTAATATAAAAGACTATATTTAATTCACATAGATTTTTGAAATTGATCTGTATGTAGGATTTTTGAGCAGCTATTTGGTAGTCTGTAGGTAGATAAATAGATGTTTTTGAGCATTTATCCATTAACTCATGTTTCGTTAGCCCCAAGCCTTTAAAACTCTGTTACACTAGTATGTCACACCGAATTTATAGGTATACCAAAGATTTGGGAGAAAGGGGAGACATCTTGTCAGCTGGAAACAAACAATGGAAGCAAAGTCGAGAGTCACGACCTAAATTGCCAAACTTTGATGAAGCCATGAATAAAATGACCATTAAAGACCATTCCTCAACAACCGAAACCTTGGGGGATGCAAGGCAAAACATCTCAGAAAGTATGTTTAACTGTCAAATAACATTTTAATTACCCTAATTATTTTTATTTTATAGAAATTAATGTACCAGGACATGAAAGACGACATTCTCAGAGTAGTTCTTATGACAACGTACTGCCAAAAGAATCTCAAAATATTGTGAAAATGGCTATGAACATTTCAGCAGAAAATGCTTCCCAGAATAAGACACTTCAACAGGCACATGAAAATATCGGACAAAGTACCAGTAAAGTTGTGGATGTTCTGAACAGTAAACAGGAAGCAGGTAAAATTAACATTCCCAAAAACAAAACATAATGCTGCAAACAGATGTGACTATACAGGGTTATTCACACAAAATGTTCATTGACATTTTTAACATTATTTACTTCAATTCTTGACGTTAATATTAAGTGTTTATCATTTAATTTAAAATACTTCCATTTAAACCTGAAACCAGTGTGAAATAAAGGCTAGAACCGATATAACATAAATTAGGTATAAGGTGAAAAGAACATGTTCATAAGCATTTTCTCTTTTTACATATTTAAGATTTACTGGTGTGTCAAACAATGTTTAATTCTTTGTATACAAATTTAACTAAAGTTTGCTCAGTAATATATATTAAAAGAGATATTGCTAATTACCCGGAAAACTGTTTGCCACTTCAAAAAAAGCGGAGATTCCTATTATTTTTATATTGTTGGCATATGTTCATGTACTGTTACAATAAGCTGATACACTATATATACATAGATAATTGAAAGCTTGTTCTATTAATAATAATTTAGGTGTAGCTGGTTTCAAAATTTTATTTTTTGACCTTATATTTTGTTTGTCACATTTGCATAAGCAGATACATTTGTTTAAAAAAAGGATCATAAATATTATCAACTGCAACAAAAAAAAATCTACCAAAATAGGTTGCTCTCCCTCTAACTCACAAATGTGATATTATATTACAGCAAACTCACCAAAATGGAGGTGTAAGGCATGCACATTCATAAACACTAAGGCGAAAGATATTTGTGAAATGTGCAGCAAGAGTCGAGATCTTGGGCAAGAACAACCGATGGAAGTAGGTGGTGCTGAATGCTCACAATGTACATTGGTGAATCCTAAGAGCGCAAAAATATGTCAGGCATGTCACTGTAGCCTGAAAGATTCCCCAACTTATATATGAATAATTTATTTGAGTTGTATAGATCATTCTATGTTGAGTTTAAGACCACCGTTTGCACAAACAATTAATATACAAATTAATTCATTAATATTTAGTATAGATACATTTTATTTTCCTAAATATTGACATTTGTGTTTGCTCTGAAGTCAAATAAAAATATTTTGTTCCCATTTGTGGAAATTATTTTCCCATTTCTGAGAAAACATTACTAATATGCAATAGTCAACATCCTTTCATCTAATTGTTATTTAATTTTAATTAGGATATGTTCTGACTTGTTTACGCATTTCACACTGGAAAAGAGCTATTGTGATATTTTATTTTATTTACAGCACATATCCTTCATCTATCTCATCATCAATTCTATTTGATTCTATAACACTCAGCAGCATATGATTTGGAATTTCGCTCCCTCTGATTTTAATATTGTAGCAAACTAATTCCATTTTTGCCAGACTTTGGCGTAATACATTTGACTTCTTCGAGAGTTCTTTATTTCCCCAGAAGTGTAATCCTGTAAACAAATGCTGTTGCAAATTATACTAATAAACTAAACAAAATTACTTTTATAGTAAAATATTGTCACTTACCTAAAAAACCAGTATAAATGCTCCGGACAAAGTTGCAAAGTTTAAAGCACTCATTGACATTTCCAACACTCAAGACGTTAATGCATTTTCTCATCAATTCACCTGTAAAGTCCGCTATACCGAGTATAAAATCATATTGGGTAAATAACAAAGAGACTTCATCCTCTTTATACTGAAAATAATTGTTTATATGCAACCATATTGGCATACTTTTATTTTTTATATAGTGGTAAAAACAAAAGGCCTCTATAAATTCTTGCATGCCAGCGGTAAATGCTTTATGATATAAATAATGGTCTTGACCTTTCAGCTCCAAGGCAATGTCTCTGAAATTTGTTTTGTATAAATTTGAAAGTCTGTCAAAGGCCTCTTGCAAAACCAAATCTCGCTTTGATTCTCTAGAAAATATAGAACTTGGTTAATTAACATTTTCAAGTCTTAACAAGATTATCAAATCCGATTTCCTTAATGCTATTTTTTAGATGAGTTTTTGCAGGCGGGATTTAATTTTAATATTAAGAACAACAGTGTTCTAATAAATACTAATATGATATCAATTTTAGATTTAAAAAATGGCCATAAAAATTTTTATGGTACATGGGACCAGCTCTATAAAAGTGAAGGGAACATGCTGATTCTAACATTATTAACATATTCTAAAAGTAGTGTTAGCCATTTTCATTTGAACATAAATAATTTAGAAATATAGGGAATTGCTATTCAAAATATTTCATCTTCAATTTCTAATAATTTGAATGTACCAGACATTTTTTCTTTTACTGGAATAAATGTATAAATATATTAAACTAAAATTCAGCCTACAGAAACAACACTTTAATGTGTTATTAGTTAATAGGTACAACATGCGCATTAGTGGCTGAAGTAGTTAGTTCATTTTTTAAAATCATGTACACTTGAAAAAGATGGTACTATTATAATTTATATATGAAAAGTTTCACAAAAAATTTCTTACATATCTGTATTAGTACTATGAAGTAAAAAGATTATTCTTTTTGATTCAATGGTGACATCTCTACTTAATTTTACTATTTTTTCATATCGATCATGTTTATCATCTAACTCTGTAGAATACTCTTCAAACATTTGAATAAAAGGATTGTTTGTATCAATTGATTCCAAAACTTGTTTTGCCTGCTTTCCAACAGAAAATTTTGTTTTCTTGAACCGTCCATGCCCTAAAGAATATCTGGTTTAAATTGTTTTATTGTTATTGTAAAACAGTTAATTGCCTTTGTATTTAGACATAATTATAATTCCACCCGAATCGACATTAAGATATTCCATCAAAATATACACAACATAACCATATTCTTCCTCCAACTGAGCTTGCAGTGTCCTTCATATACCTAGCTAACAAATGTTAGGAAAAACAACTGGTATCCTTCGCTCAATCGCGGCAAACATGAAGAATGTTGGAGCTGGTCCCTTTGAATTGACATTTTCGTGTTTTGATAATGTCTGATTTTTTTTTATGAAGGTATACAGTAGAAATGCAGATCATATTTGGCAATTAATTTATTACTGTATTAATACACTTGTTCTGTGTCCAATCAAATTAATGTATTTGACTTGGTTTTGCAGCTTTTTGTTCTGACAAGATCATATAGCTACTAGACATATAGAAGCCCTGCCTATGCTGACAGTACAGAAACTCATGAAGCAGACTATGTAAAATTTCTTTGAGAAGGTACGTTTAACGTGCGCTAGCTTGAGATTTAAAATTTCATTTTTAACCAATGACAGCTCTAATGACAAACTCTTACGTAGGACCCATAAAACCTTGCAGCATTTTTACGGCAGTATTTTATAAAAATATGTTGAAATTCTATTTAATTTTCAGACAAAAAAGCAGTTAAAATCTAGAAAGGCAGTGCAGAATTGCAGCACCCACGTCGGCGTCAGTATTTTTCTGTAATTAATTTGGCGTTTTTGTTCTTCAAGTTCTGTTGATAGGATGCAATTTCTATATGTATTTTTTTATGTAAGCTATTTTTCTATAAATTGGCGTAAAGCGTTAGTTTTCATAAACTCGTAGGTTTAACCTGCATTGAAATAATTTTAAGGTGCTAGATATCGCACATGAAACATAAAAGTGAAAAAATGTTCAAGAAGTGCCTTCTATAGACAATAATTGACAGGGATATTTCTTATACTTGTTCTAGTAAAAAATAAATTCGGAGCTTAATTGCTTTCTTATATTTAGTGTAATTCTTGTACACTGAAACATGTACCTAACCTAACGTGTACCTAAAAATGTAGGAAATTATGTTTAGTAAATTCACATGTAAATTTGTGTAAGTCTATTTTTCAGTTAGTTAAATGTCAAAGATCACTTATTTTCTAATTTCCCATTAGGTCTTTATATTTGCCACATTTGCTGTAATGATGTGAAAGAACAAAGTATTGAAAGCACAAGTTAAAGAACTTTGTAAGGTACGGATATATCGTACACCAAAAATGAAAACAACAATGACACAGGGCACCGACTGTTCTGCGACAATAGTAATTACTAACCTCGGTGTTGCCAATTATGTGCGGATTTCAGGGATGGATGTCGCGTTCTTATAAAAATTAATCAGTGTTCACGGCAACTCAGTTAGTTGGAGGTGACGCATGCACAAAAAAATCCATACCTTCTCTTCGAAAAAAATCATAGCCACCTGCGGGGCATCAAATTTTACCGTGATAGGGCCACTATATCATCTTATAACGATATGGTCAGCCCCGTATAGTTATAATAAAGGTAATATAGCGGCCCTACTAAGGTAAAAATTGATGCGCCGCAGGTGGCTATGATTTTTTCGTAGAGAAGGTATTGGATCTTTCGCGCAATGCGTCACTCCCTAACTAGCCGAGTTGCTACATTGCCGTAATTTTTCTTTAAAATTGACTAATATTTATAAGAACTCAACATGAATCTCTAAAATCTGAACATAATTGCCAATGTCGAGCTAAGTAATTACTATTGTCGCAGACCAGTTTGTCACCTGTGCCATTGTTAATTTCATTTTTGGTGTCTATATCTCCGTACCGTACTCACAAACTTTTGTAATTTGTGCTTTCAATACTTTGTTCTTTCACGAAATTACAGCAAATGTGGAAAATATGGGGACCTAATAGGATCCTGGAGAAACTGTGATGCCTATATATTTGACATTTGACAAACTGGAAAAATAGACTTAAACAAATATTTACATGTGAATTTACTAAACAGAATTCCCTGCATTTTTAGATACACTTATTTAAGCTAGTAGCTATTTAGCTATGAAGGATGTTTGGGTAATATGTTTTAGTGTACAAGAATTAAAGGAAGAAAGCAAGCTACAAGTTGAATTTTTACTAGAATAAGCGTAAGAAATATCCCTTGGGAATACTGTGCTTGTTGAACAAAGTTATTTCAATGGAGTTTAACGTAGAAGTTTATGAAAACTATCGCTTTACGCCGATTTATGTAACAAATAATTTACATAAAGAAGTACATTTAGAAATTGCATCGTATCTACAGGGCTGTAATTCTGAACTGCTTTTCCAGACTTTAATTCCTTTTTTACCTGAAAATTTAATAGCATTACGACTTAATTTGAGAAAATACTGCAGCAAAAATGCCGCATCTAAATATCGACGCATCGACGATCTGTCAGCTGCCATGTTGTTTGTGGAAAGCCGCAAGGTCTCATGGATCCGACGTCAGAGTTTTTCATTAGAGTTGCCATTGGTCAAAAAGTAAATTTCAAATTTCGCGCATGCGCATGTTGGCTGAACCTTCTCAAAAAAAATTTACATAGTTGCTTCGTGAGTTCCTGTACTGTCAGCATAGGCAGGGCCTGTATAGGTCTAGTACTTATATGGCCAGCCCCTACTGAGTTGCCACATTGCCGTAATTTTTTTGGAAAAATTGACTAATTTTTACAAGAACGCAAAATCAGTCTTTAAAATCCGGATATAATTGGCAACGCCGAATAGAGTACCTTTTCCGTGTTTTATGATAAAATGCCCACTCACTGGAAAACTTCTGTTTGTAGTCAAAACTGTAATAACATGAATGTGCCTATATACAGGTAAGTGTTGTTTTATGTACAAGTTAATGTAAAAGATATAAAAGTGGTTTATATCGGACTCCCACTCACACTGTATAATTTGTGCTTTTAATACTTTGATTCTTCACGAAATTACAGGAAATGTAGCAAATAGCTATTAGTATAATTTTTTTGCCGATGACTTTTTTCATTTAACAGTTAACAGCGGTAATATACTATTTCATAACATTTGTAGTTCATTTTGTTTTAATATTGTGGTTTTCAAACAATAGCGATCTTCGCTCTAATCAAGAAAGGCAAAACCTGCTCATTAATTTCAGATATCTGATATTTTCTGTTTTAATGCAAGCAATTGGCGTAATCTAGTTTTTTTTTAATGGTGTTTATTCAAGACATGGCACTGATTAAGTGGATTTAGTTCCAGGTGATACAGGTGATATATGCAATCTATTTATGAATAAGATGAAGTTGACGGAAGAGTTAATGTGGACTGGGGATCAATTTTATGGTCAAGTTGATCTTGGGATGGAGTCTTCTACACTCGATAATGCCGAAAAAGTCAGCTATGCATTTGTATTTATGACAGTCGGCTTCAATACACAATTGACAGTGCTTCTAGGGTACTGTTTTATTCGCGGTCCTAGCCTTGAACAGAGTGTGAATCTAATACTGCAATGTATAAAACTGCATGAGAATGGTGCGACTATTACTTCAGTCACTTTTGATGGAGCTAAAACCAATCTCTTCATGATAAGAGAACTTAGAGCACTGACTAATCCATTAACTAAAAAATTCAATCCATCTTTCCCTCATCCCATCACCAAGGATGATGAAGCTGATCAAATGGTCATCAAAAGTTGTGATCACAAGGAAATTTGTGAATTTGCAAGAAAAAGAGGATTTGAAAGCAGCTAACAAGTTGACTCGAAGACATATTGCATACAGTAACAGTAAGATGTCTGTTAAACTCGCGGCCCAGGTTAGTCAGAGTCAGAGTACATCTGTACACTCTTGCTACATACTTTTGAAGATTTTCAAAACTCAGAAGCCACATCAAAATTCTGTCTTGAAATAAATAATGCATTTGAAATCCAGAATTGTAAATCCAAATTTTCAAAATTAAGTTTTTCTAAACCAATCAATGAGCATACAAAGAGTGACCTCCAACAAAAATCCAATGACATAATTACATATTTGCAACAGAAATTTGACAAACCTTTTCAATCTATATGAAAACCATAGGCAAGGATTTGACTTTTTTAACTTTTAAAATATCGCAAGACTGTATAGAAACCTTTTTTAGTGCAATAAGCAGTAGGAGAGGTTGGAGTCTTTATCCAAACGCCCGTCAGTTCAGAAATGCCTACAAGAGTCTCTTGGTTAAAAACCAACTAAACTTATTGGCACATGGCAATTGCCAGGTAGATGGTTTGGAGATTCTGTTTCCTGCTCTGAAAGGAAGAAAGGCGAGGTAGTTCCTTGAAAAGAGTAACACTGAAGCATCTTATGTCGGACGCCATTATGTACATATAAAATAAATATTATTATGCTATTAAAAAATGCAGCATATATCTTTATTTAATTTCTTATTGCCTTTATATGCAACAATGTATTTTATTCTTTTCAGTATTATTAAATAATTCATGTACTTATTCATTTATATTTTTACAGTGTGTTTGTTCTTTAACGCTATATCTTCTGTGAACTTCAAAACAAGTTAATAAAACACTATATAAAATGCTGTTATAATTAAAGGTAAGTTGTACTTGTGACCTGCCAGCGGCCATGTTGGTTGTTGAAAACCACATGGCTTTATGGATCGAACGTCAGAATTTGCAATTAAAGCTGCTATTGGTCAATAACGAAATTTCAAATCTCGCGCATGCGCATATTGAACAGACATCATTTTTTTTACATAGTTGCTTCATGAGATCCTATACTATTAGCATAGACAGGGCCTCTATGTCTAGCAGTTATATCGTTTTCGGCTCCATTTGCTATATTAGCCAGCAAGTATTTAGTTTGTTTCTGTTATTTTTTGTCGAGCTTAGAGGAGAAAGCATATACAGCATAAACAACAGAAACTAACCAAAACTAACTAAATAGTGGCGAGCAAATAGAGCTGAGAACATTGGATTACGCTTAAACATTTAATGCCTGTTAAAATTGTTATTTAGATTATTCCAGTTCAAGTGTATACATTTTTACGAAATATACGTTAGTTTAAAGCCGAGTGTTGCTATATGTTCCCAATGATTAAAAGGTTAGTGAATTATGGTAGATGACCTTTAGCTAAAAAATAACAATTATTCATTTTCACAACAAAAAGATAACTTATTAATCATAAAGTTAGGCGTTTTCAAAACACGTTTTAGAATTGGAGTGTAACACTTTTACGCGGATTTAAAGATATTTTTCCCAATATGTACTATTATGCATCATTTTAAAACCCGCATGTTATTTTTTAAAGTAAGTGTTTTTTGGTGAATCAACTGGAGAATAAATAATTTGTTCTTTAATTTCACATAGTTTTTTTTTTATCATTTCTTATATGGTTTTGACCTGGCGGGAATCTTATTTACATATATGAATGAGCTAAATTAATGGTAAATCGCCTAAAATAGGAGATTCGCAGCACTACATTATGATGCACAGATAGTCAGTACCTAGTCACATTTTAAATTATGAAAATTTCAGCAAGAACCGGATGGTTTATTCATAGCTAGAAAATGATTTAACATAGCAAGGACATATCCACTCACACACGCACTCTCATTATATGATAATTCTTGCGTCTGAAAAATGCATTAAGGTGGGTTAGAAGAATGTGGTATAACGGACATAAATGTTGTTTTTGAACAAGGCTCCACATATCTAGAGCAATGATGATTATACTTTTTTTCTTCGTTAGTAAATTGCAGATTATCAAAAAAGCACATCGTTCACATTATTCAATTAAAGTTGAATATACGCTAATCTTTAAATTTTAAATTTTCGGCCTATTGAGACACATGGCGATTCAAAGAAAAAAGTTATCACTGTCACTATTGAAACAGTAGTGACACTATCCCTTTCTGCGCAAAAAAAGTTGTTTTTGTTTCTTAAACCTCGTTTACTTGTGCTGCTTTAGTAGTCGCTTAATTCAGGAACATAAATTACCCCAATTGTTAATAAACTGCAAAATACAATACAAGCCTGTGAGATACAAACAATCTTTCTACTATCTACTCTAAAATAACCATTTATGGACCCCCCGCTGTCGCGAGTCACTTTGGGCGTTTCCGGTACTTTAGTCACGGTTTTTTTTTAATGTACCCAAAAATAGTATGCAACACGTTGATAGACTTCTTCAGTTTTCTTATAATTGTTCCATAATATATATAGTTTTCGTTTCGCAAGCGATGAAGTCACTGTACTCTTTGCTAATAATTCTACCGTACCCAATATTTGATCGTATTAAATCGTATGTTTAAATTTGTTTAAAATAATTTTATAATTTAGCAAGGGTTAAGTTTAAATAGCCTTAAGCTAGACTTCGCCCTGTATATATTTACATTTTTAGTGCATTTATTCTTTGATTATTATGAATAAAGTCGATTATTATTATTATTAAAATAATATTAGATTGTTTTCGTATTTTTAGATTTGTTTAGGATTATGATTTATCAATATTTCTACTTTACCAGTGTTATATTTTCCAATCATTAAAACTAAACGTAATTTATCTACGCCACCAATTAACTTTTTGTTTACCTATTACAGACTATTGCTCTACCAGACATAAACTTAAAGTTCTACTGTAAAAACAATTCCAGCATATAGGTAGTTGGATATATATAGTAATTAAATTTTTGAGAGCCGTCGTTTCCTTTTCCACACACTTCCAGCATCAAGTTTCTGACTTTGTCTTGCAAAACATTTTCCACCTCAAAGATTCTCACCATTTATCAAATCACAATTTTTAGTGTTGCATCGGCACTGTCAGTTTTTGAACAGACCCGGTAACTGTTGAATAATTCTCCGCACCTTTACATCGACGTTCCACCTTATTCACAACAAGTGAAACTTGAAGCTTAAGGCAACTTGTTCAGAAAGGCTTCGGCGACCGTGGTATACGCGCTCCTTGACTTATATCAACGAAAGCATGTGCAGGCGATACTAAAAATCTAGATTCGTGTTCGGTATTTGGCCTTAATTGAAGTGATAAAAGTGAAAATCGCGAAGAGAACTACGCGATAAAGTGTGATAAAACAAATAATACCGTTGGTGCGTGCTCCACGTTCGGATAGTGTTTTTTATTTTATGTGGATGACAAAACATTCGCGCTAACGTAGCAATGATCAACATTAGAAGTGATTAACTTACCTACAAAATCCAAGTTCCGAGAGGAATACCAAAAGAGGGTTTTAATGACATTTTTGTTTCGTAGAAATGAAGTTTTCGATAAATAAACTAGGCGTGAGTTTGATTGGATTAAACATCACGGTGATCTACGCCTCCGTTTTGATTTTGTTATGCGCGTTTACATGTACGGCACACGTAGCCCTAACTTTTCCGCCTGCCAGAAAATATGATTTGGATTTTTTGGATAACTCCAGGACCAAAGCACCATGTGGCATGCCCAGTGGTAAGGAGACTTTAAGCATCAGTATTACGCATAACAGGATAACAGACCCAATTTTCTAACTTATTATTTCGTTTAATCCTTTGTATTAGTTTTTGTTGAATTTGATAAAATTACCGATTGGGTATTTTTCGACATGATATGACAAAAGAAGTGGTATGTTTCCTCCTTATTTTTTAAGAAATGTTAAAAACTCGGAATAAAACAAATAAATAATAATATATAAATTAATAATAATAGATAAATGAATCTAGTGTTGATGTTTATGTATGTGATGTAGGTATTTTGTATGTGATTTAGGTAGGTAATGTTGGTATTTGTATTTGGTTATGAAATTGTCCTTTACAAAATATTCTTTTTTTGTGGCAGCTATTATTAATTTAATTTTAAAATAATTTAATTGCAACTTTTCTTCCTGTACCTAAAGATGTAAGCTCAAATTAAACCAGAGAAGTACCGATTTTGTCCGATTTAGGATTTGGTTTCAATACTTAAGGTGAAACCTACAAACAAATTATAACATTTTCATGAATATTTTATAACTTTTTATGAATTGTAATACCTCTACATCGAATTATTTTACTAGATCAACGTAATTTTTAAAAGATTATTGTAAAAATTAATATAGGCGCGGTAAATTCGATGATCGATCGAAACAGTAACCTCCATCTAGCGCTAGTGAGATCATAAACAAAACAACTAATTTTCCCGTGTTCTAATCAACGTACACATCATTTACAATTTCACTGAACATAACAGGAAATTCTCCTTGGAAAGGAGATGGCTTAAATACAATATTTTTAATACTAATATTTTATTAGTTATCAACAGAAAAATCAATTTTTGATTGTTTTTCCAAAAATATAGAATATATTTCGCTAGAATTTTTTTTTAAATAAATAGATGTTTTGAACTTTGAACAAGTAGGCTAATTTATATTGAAGACAAATGCGTAGCCAAATATGATTTTGGTTGTAAAGGTGAGGAGATTTCAAAGAAGCAATAGGAAAAGCGTAATTGGTTAAATTTTTTTAAGGACCACTTTTTGGACTTGTGTCTTATTGTCTTGTTTAAGTTCTTCCAAGGGCGGTTCTTGCTAGTCTTGTTGGCATCCTTAACTTTACGTTGACGTGTCATTATTGTTAAAACCACCATTTCTTGTAACTGATAGCGAGGGCGTAGCTTTTTGGTCAGTCAAACAGATTTAGGTTGTATCGCAATCTTCCGGAAATGTCTTTAAGAGTTTGTTTTCTTTCAATATATTAGTCGTAATACAAACTGCTTGTTCTCTCTGTTTTCTTCTCGACTTTTATAAAACAAATTATAATACCTTATTTATTTGGAAATTAACCAAAGCTACCCAGTAGTACCCAAAACAGTACCCAGTACTGTTGTGTTTTTACTCCCTTCGGTACAATACACCAATCTAGCGGGCGGAATAGGTCACCACGTGAGTTTCTTGTCCCACGGATACGAGCCCCTTCGGATATTTCCGGGATATTACCGCACGCGTTTGGGAGCAATCGGATATTTTCGGACGTTTTACAACACGGCTTGAATTTTTGTCATTTGTCAATTCTGACGGTCATGTCAGAAATTTACGCAAAAACTAACGGTCATAGAAAAAGTATAGTAAGCAATTCGTTTGAAAAACTTGTTAAGCCACTCGTTTATTTAAGGCAGGCATTGATACAGAGGAACCTACAAAACTATCAGATCACGAGATCTTAAATATGCATAAGAAGAAGTATTTTATGAAAATTATTCTCTAGACACAGGAGTTTCTCTTTAAAAGTGTCCAATTTGGCCCAACCTGTAGAGGATGTTCCGAAATTAACAAGACAAATGAAGACAGAAAATATTAGAGATCGCACAGATATTAGATAATATAGCGTTCCTACTGCGGTAAAAATTGATTCGCCGCAGGCGGCATTGATATTTTCATAGAGCCGGAAATGATTCCAGCGTATGCATGTACGTGTCGTCCACTAACCTGCGCTTTGTGCCATTTTCTTTTCTAAACAGCAATATCTAAATACTTAACTCGTTGTCCCAGAACTTTTAACGAGATCTAGGCATGTTTTAAGAAAATACTGCTGTAAAAATGCCGCAACCAAACTTATTGCCGATCTGTCAGCAGCCATGTTGGTTGTTAAGTGCCACAAGGTTAAAAGCGAGATTTTAAATTTAATTTAAATGGAACTTCTCAACATTTTTTTCATAGACGCGTCATAACTCTATATCTCTAATATCTTTATGCTAGAGATGGCACACAGTCATTATTGTCAAAGGCATTAGGAAGCGCTTTTATGCCAACCATGTGTAATCAATCATCCATTGAATTCAAAACATCTTTTGAGAATGCCTCGTATAAAGTAAAGTTTTGACACAAAAAGAAGTATTTACAGTTTCCAAAGCCATTATCACGTTTTACGTTTATATAACGATGTGTATTGATTAGTTTTTGGGTACTTTCTTATGCTTATTTTATTTTTCGGTTTTACTAATTTTTATTTGTTTCTATCTAATATATCAATTAGTGTTTAAATTAGCGCAGCCGATTTACTTCAGTGTCAGAGAAAACATGTTGACGTTTAAAAGAAAATAATTTAAGTTTACACAACGTTTATTGCCTATAGGAGCGGACGCTTTCACTATACAGGTGTTTAATTTTGTTTTTTTTTACAATACTATGGAATTATCGCGACAAATTCTATTATTTTCTTCTACCGGAAGTTAGATTATGACTGCAACAATATTTTGTTAGGTGAGCTGATATATTAAAAGGCTATGTAATGTCATTCCCTGGATAGGTACTGTACTAATAGTGTGCAATTTTTTTCCCTAATGCGCATTCGCTTGAGCATTATCTTAGAAAACTCCAAACTCCATACTTAATTCTAAGAAAAACTACACAAATAAAATAAGACCACGGAAAGTTTAAATGATTTAAAGAAAAACACGAAATAAGTCTGTATAATAATTGCAAGTAAATGGATGTTTAATATATAGTTATTTGTGAGACTGGTGCCACGAACTGCATGCTTTTGTGAAAGTAACTGTATAAACTTATTACATATTGACGTAATGAGTATAATGGCGGTAATGAATCACGTACTACGAAATTTTATTGCGAATCGTACAAAGAATTTATGCCTTAAAAATGCCGCTTGAAGTCGCGTAAATAATAAATAATCTATCGACCATTAATTCTTAATGGATATGAACTCTTCTACTGGCTGAATCTTGCAGGCAGAAAATTACATAATAGAAATTAGCAAAATAACTTGAAGTGCCTATTTTAAACAAGGTGAACCGAACAATCGTCATTTTAAAGGCTAAAATTTAAGATAAAATATTCGAGCGAAATCCATTTTAAAGGTTACAGAATCTATAATGAGTCATCAGCTGAACGTCTAATTTTGTCAATTGCAGTAGTGTCCTACTTTGTTTGCTAGTTCCAAAGCACATTATACGGGGGGGTTGCCATAAAATTTGAAAAGCGGGAGGTCAATTTAGTGGTTTTGAGGAAAAGGAAATAGCCCCGTAGATAACAATTTTTCGGCGTCCTTTTCTCACAAAATTTTATTCTATTTATTATTATTATTTATTTTATAAGTAAAACCTTCCTCGAAACATAATACCTATTAAAAAAATACCCATTGATATATCTATTACCTACCTACCTATCTATAGAAGTATAGATATAAAGTCTGTTCATAGATATAAGAAAGTGACTAACTGATACGAATCAAGGAAAGACCCGGGCAAGCTGTAAGAATGAAATATTTCAGAACAGGTCGGTACTTTGCTTAGAATTTGATTATTTAGGGTTTTGTTGTGAAAGATACTAAACAATATTTATTTATTTTTGTATGTATTTATGTTTAAAGTTAAAATAAAATTAAAAATTATTTTTATTACCTACTTAAATTATTTAAAATTATTCACATAATATATCAGTATCACTATCGCTATCATCGCCTTTTCCAATTATTATTTGTTCTATATTATTTGCAATATGGATGGTTTCTTCTAAAGATGCTTGCTTGCTGGCACCACGTTCAATGAAAGTCAAATAAACATTGTTTATAACTTCCTTAGTCTCAATAGAATAGTGTTTTCTACATTTGGGCGGGAGCATCTCCTGAGATACAATAGACTCGCACATATTTTGCATAATTCGCACTCGATTCAACACACGCTGTATTACACACGAAATAAAAATGATTACTAATAAACTTAAACTAAGTAGTATACCAAACCAAAGAATATTAAACACAGGTAGGTATAAAATTATTTTCTATTACGGACCACAATTTTACCTGAATTTAAATTCCGAAACTTTAGGTAATAATCTTGTTGCATTGTATGTTAACGACCACCCTTGGATAATCCCATTCAAAAGCAATTGGTCACTTTCATATATCTATGAACAGACCATATCTATTACATTATTATTTTTCCTAATCTCTTCTGTAAAATACCCAATTATACACCGATCCAGCATGCGGATTTTACTAAGTCAGTTGCATTTCCCACGGATCCGGATCATTTCGGACATTTCCGGGTAATTACCGCACGGGTTTGGGAGCAAACGGATGTTTTCGTAGATATTACCACATGACTTGAATTTTGAAGTTTGTCAATTCTGATGGTCATGTCAGTGAATATATCCAAAAACTAACAGTCGTAAAAAAAGTATAGTATGTATGTATGCAACTAGTGTGGTAAACGGCATTTGAGGCATGAGTTTATTTGGCACGAGCGGAGCGAATATTTAATAAACGAGTGACTTAAAAAGTTTATCAAACTTGTGGTTGCATACCATACTTTTTCCAACCATTACATACAAACAACACGAATACATTCACTGACATAATGGTCAGAATTGTCAAACGTCAAAATTTAAACCGTGCGATAATATTCCGAAGACATTCGATTTCTCCCAAACCCGTGCCGTAATATCCCGGAAATGTCCGAAGTGGCTCGGATCCTTGAAA